AAGCAATTTGATGTAACTAGAAATAAGTTTTAAGTTACAAACAACATTCAGATCACTAATTTCTTTCGCATTGATTTAGACATAGCAGTAATTACCATGGATTCAAAGATAGTTAAGACAGCTCAGACAACGCTTCCTACCGTAAGCTAAATATAACAGTAGTACGCAAGTTGTTATTATCAACCGTAAACTACGTTAAAAAGAACCGTGTAAGAAATTAAAATTCTCTAAAATTAAAACATAAAGCTATTTGCGAACTTGAGCTAGGGCGGTGGCTGCAATTCAAGTGCAAGAGCGTTCAGGATCGATGCAAGTTCAAGGCCTGCCGCCCCTACAGCCCCTGCCACTGCCAGAGGCTTCCCGCACGTCGCTAGTGCGCCGACTCACCGCTGCTTGACGTCAGCGCCCCATTCATGCCTGACGCGATCGATACCGAACTCCACACAGAGTGTGGTCCAAATTAAACTACCTATCGTTTAATTGTTAGTTTGAAATTATGTAAAAATGACAATCAAAACATTATTGATGACTTTTGTGATTTTTCTTTTGAATTGATAATTTTATTTGAAAGGTTTTTTTTAAACGCTTTTCTAATTTAAAGTAATAATAATACGAATTATATTAATTGAGCATTAAATACTTGTTTACGATAAAAATATAATGTGTCTTATTTTATTGTTAAATTATGCTTTCTTTTATAACACGAAAAGGTAAAACGCTTTTAAATTACGCCATACCATAGAGAGGGAAACAGCGACGTTGGTGAAAAAGGGAAATTACTTTTTTGGAGAAAAAAAGATTTTAATGATCATACTTTATGATTCTTGAATATAGCAAATAGTCTAAGAACAAACTCAACTTTCTATTTTTTCCTTTTATATTCATTAAAGGACCGAAGACCGGAAATACTTTTTTAGAGGACAGCCACTTCAGTCAACAGCTCTATACAATACACCAACAAACCGATATAAAGTTCTTGGTTCCGCTTAGTGTCTATTGTCCTTGGATGACTATGACTAGACACCTAGACAGTAGAGAACTAAAACTGAACGTCACGACTCGCATGGGGCCCAAAGTCTAGGACAAGCTAGCTAGTCTATCTTTGATTTATGAACTCCGCCGAAGCAGAGCTATACAAAAATATTAAAGACTCATTTGAGTGTTCCCCTCCACGGAAATCTTTAGTAAAAGGCGAAAGATTTATACGTTTTGAAGTGAAACCAGAGTGACTGTCAAATAATTCGCATCAGACCCTATTGATTCAAAAAGAATTTTAACATCGCGAGTTTTTTTTTGGTAAAACCGTTAAGCGACATCTATTGAGCGTCACATGTAATTATTATTAAAAAAAATGTATATGTGAATAACTCTTACAAACGGGGACGAACATCGCCCACTTTAACAAGCCAGCTTACAAATAGAGGTAAAAAATGTATATACTCACAGTTTTCATTTTGTTTTATATTACACAAACTAATAAAAATCTCATCATGGAGAGATTTTGCAACTGATTCCAATTAGTCATTAACTAAGTCTTAATTATATTAGGTCTATATTAGAGACTGCGACATAACCGCAATTGTATTTGCTATATCTCTGAGATCCTCCATTCAACATTTAAGTTAACCTCCCAAGAAGCTCCATTCATAGCTACTTACGTAACATGTTCGAGATGTTTCTGTATAACAAAGATGTTTAATTATCTAACTTGGATGTAATTTTTACTTAAAAGGTATCTGAAAGGTTGCTTTAGCGTTAAAATAATTAAAAAAAAAATTATAGTCCATTACCGGTATAATCTTTGCAGTAGAGGTATGAAATACCGGGCGTCAGTACCGGCAACCCACGCAGGGGGGCGCCACCCTGTCGCGTGGGCGTATGACGTCAACAGCGCGGCCCCCAGCCCCCACCGCCCGGCCTTCCCCTTGCCCCTTCAACTTGACATTCGCGAGGCTGTATCGATTCATACCCCGCCGGGGTCGTGTTTACGTCCTTACTTGAATGAATTCCCCATCCCAGTATGCCAATTGAAGAACTAAATTTTATTTAACTAGTAATAAGGATAACAAAGCAAGAAGAAAAGTTTTACTATTGTGTTAAAAGAGACTAATATAGGAGTACATTTTTAATCAATAATCAATGTATTTTTTTTATTTTAGGAAGCAAAAATAATGTACCAATTAAAAAATATGACCCACCTGACACATCAACAAAGTGATATATAAAAGTAAAATTATGTTAAAAACGTTAAAAATAATTTAATCACAATCAACAATTTTAACATATTTGATCATAGAACACAGATATAAAATTACGTGGGCGCAGCGCCGAGCCCAGCGAGCGATGACGTAGGAGCGAATCCTTCGAGAACTTTATCGAGTCTCCCATCACACTCGAACATTACACGAAAGAGAAAAAATCGTGAGCAAATAATGGTGAAAAACACCTAACAAATATGAAAAACATACACGATAATTCTTGACAGACTACTATTTCTAAGTTTTAATTACGCATATTTATTTTGCGGAACCCCGCCAATAATTAAGTTTCCTTTTCACCCATTGGAAGATATGTTTTTATAATTATGACTGAGAAGTACTAAATATATGACGTTTAGCATTGCTTGATTTGGTTTAATAAAGGAAATACACAGGTGACCTTTAGTGTGACCTTGGGCGTGACCGCGACCCCAGCGCCGCGCCCGTGACGTCACGGCCCTCGCCCGCCCTTGCTGCTGTTCCGAGTCAACACAATGCACATTTTTGCTATGAAGTTTATATTAAACTATTATTAAATTAAATGATATTGCTGCGTACCTAACCTATAAAGAATAAGATAAATTCTTTCTATAAATAATGTTTACGAACAATGTAAAAAGTCATTACGCGCCAAAATTCGTTCAGTACAGTTGGTTAAAGATGTCTAAATTAACGACGGAAGTACGTATAATCTGTTTAGATTAATTGGAGAATGGATTCTTCAATTAAAAATTCACATTGTTCATCCTTAGATACTAGCGCCATCTATAACAAACGTTACACTTATAAACAGTGGCGTTCTGTATCAGTGCAGTGCTAAAAAAGAACTATTTAAGAGCTGCAGGTTTTGCCATGTAACATCCGCGATCCGTGCATATCAAATCCAAATAGATGTCTAATATTGCACGGTAAGATACATAAATAATGTTCTTTATTCTTGCAACTAATTAAATTAGCAACGACATAACAACACACATTTACATAATCTGCAGCACAGCAGCAGAAGGCGTGTCGGTTGCGGCTTCCCGCCAAAAAACCGGTTATAACCGGTTACATTCCGTGCATGCACAACGCTGCCAAGCTTACTTGCATTGTTCTGTCATCAATTCGGAGATTTATGCGCTGGCGACTATGCATGCAAATTAATTTACAATATTGAGTTTTATATTAATCTCTACTTTGTTTTGATCGTCTAATTCCATTTATGTCCGCTTCAAGGGTTTTCAGTGTGCGTCACAGGTCACGTGACCTTAGGGCGAGTTACCGGAACTCCACGAGAGATACAATAACTCGTCGATATTAAAACACGTGAGAACTGACATGTGTGTTTATATAACGCTAAAACTGATCGTACAATTTAGTGCTGGTTTGGTAATAGGTTCAAATGTAGATTAAATATATTTTGCACTTAAAATTGCTATGTTTAGAAATGAAGCAAACTTATTGATGTTGTCTTACATAGTATCATTTAAGTGTCATGTTTTTTTTTGTAATTTTATTACTAAGCATAACGTAAATAAAGATTGATTACAATTTTGATCCACGCACTGATTGGGTTCATTCACGCGAGCCGCACGCGACGCGCGTCTTTAACTTCGTTATGATGACACTAAAAATATATGACCGATAATAGTGGGAACTTTCTCACGTCATTCATTTTATTTGCGCAATTTTCATTTTATCGGCTTAGATTATACGTGTCTAATACTACATCAATATTTTTGTATTTCATTAAGGGCACATTTCTCTAATATTCTACCATTTAAATCCAAATTATGAGTAATCTAGGTAAAAATAAAACTACCTTTTATACCACATGCTTAAAATAAGAATAAAAATGAACTCGAATCAATATTTCCAGCTGATGCCACAACGGCCCATTAGCTCAGTTGGTTAGAGCGTCGTGCTAATAACGCGAAGGTCGCGGGTTCGATCCCCTCATGGGCCAATTATTTTTTTGTCTATTTTTTTTAGTAACTAAAAATTACACAGAATTCATTTGACCCTTCCTTGTCCTTCCTGCCACTTATGTTTTTTTCTGGATAAATATCAAATTAAATAAGGAAGCTACACATAATTTGAAATATTCCTATTTGTAGTAACAATAAATTGATCAAATATACTTTTAACATTAAATAAAGATTAATTCACACGACAGTATTAATCGATTATATATTGTTTGTTATATAAATTACAAACATAAATCATGCATCATTCACTGTATATAATATACTAAGCAAATATCGTGACTCGCAAATCATTTACAATACAGCAGATTCAAACATTATGTATTATGCCGATAAATTCTAGTTCTTCATCGAACAAATTAATTTACCACGATATTGTCCAAACCGGCGAAAATATTTACTTATCAAACTAACAGTCATTACCGCCATCTAGTGGACAAATTACTTGATCACGATCTTCTGCCGGTTAAAACTGGATTTTACCTTGGGGCAGTTTTTCCTTGATCTTTAGACGTGACTGACCTACATTTTGTTAAAACCTGATTTGGTTATAAAATTCATTTTGCGGAAAAATATGGAACTGATTTATTTGCATACATAAACCAGATGTATTAGCGATAGTGGCGCCACTTGGCCCGGTTTTTTATTAGACTAATAAAACTAATAGATGCGCCTGGTCTGATTTAATACATTTTTCAATTACATATAAGTGTGTAAAATAAAAGATTTTGTTTTAAAATAACATTTATTTATTGATACAGATTTATACAACATATCTACAATAATTACAACGCCAATAAATATAGCAATAGGCACTTGGAAATTAAATAATTATAACTTGAATAAAAGACAAAACATTTTTATGTACATATTTGGACAGATTTGAACATTTACAAATAAATTCCCCTAGCCATTTACAACTATTAATAGTATGTACTTTCATTATACGTTGAAAGAGGTTATTTGACAATAAAATCCTCTTTATGTAAACTATTTAAAAAAATAAAGTCTATTTTGTGATCATTGTAAAGCTGTAAAATACACAAATAAAACCGCAATATTTAATAACCTCAAATCTCAAGTTCCTTAAAATATACTTAATTGTTAAATTAAGAGATTACTATTTATTTCATTTTTCAGACCCCATAGTTATCAAAATGGAGGTAATCTACAACTGCGGTCATAGCTTCTGTAGAAGCTATATAGCTTTGTCATAATATAAATTAATCTATCAAAAGGCGACAAAACAAAAATTTTAGGAATATCGAACAGTTTAAGCGGTTATCTAAAACAAAGTAACCGCTATCAAATAACAAAATGGTATAGTCCCTCAGTGGACAGGGTAGGGGACTCAGTAGGGTATGCCAGCAAGCTTGTATCTAGTTTTAATGCGGCAGTTAGCTGTCAATGACAAGCCAGCGATGCGAGGTCTTGTCTACCTGTTGCTGCAGCAGCGGCGAGCGCACGCGCAGCTTCACCTCCAAGGAGCCGCCCGCGGCGCGCCGCCCCTCCATCAACTATTACAATATATACGAAACAATTCCAATTTATGTAGAATTCGAATTTAAATGATCCTATTATAATGTAATGAATGAATAAACGTATTGTTTATAATTTATCTTACGACTGAATACTGTAAATTTACGGCCGTACTTGAACTCAAAATTTCATTAAAATTTGCGGCCCAAGTTTAATACGTATCAGTATTAGGCAGTAAAATTATAATTGTGAACGCACAGATATAGACCATTTACAAATGGTTTTTATTTGCGCAGGTATAGTCGGGAACAAAAATTAGTTTTCTCATATAATAACATGACCGAAGGAAAAATGAACGAAATTATTCAATACTAGCTGTTGGCGATTTCGTGAAAAAATAGTTAAAAACCCTGCATTACACTGATAACATAGCGTTTTAATAGTGAAAGAATTTGAAATCGGCCCAGTACTTTCCGAGTTATTTTAATCCAAAAATACAAATCATTCCTATTTATAATATTAGTATAGATGTAAATAAGACTGACCGGGATCGCTTCGTTCAAGGTGACCTGGGTCTCCAGCGGCGCCAGCTTGAGTGCGGCGGTGGCGAGCAGCGCGTCCCGACTGAACCAGCCGCTGCAACACCACACCGCGTCACATCTGCACACCCGCGCCCCGCACACACGCTACTACACCACTCTATACAACATGCATGGACCCACAAGCGGACAGGTGAACACCGTTGGAGGGATATAAAGAATACAGTTCGAGAGAGGTGAGGAATACAGCTCGAGGGATGTGAAGGATACATTTCGAGGGAGGTGAAGAATAAATTTCGAGGGATGTGAAGGATACAGTTCGAGGGAGGTGAAGAATAAATTTCGAGGGAGGTGAAAAATACAGTTCGAGGGAGTTGAAGAATACAGTTCGAGGGAGGTGAAGAATACAGATGGAAGGAAGTAAAGAATACAGTTCTAGGGGTATGAAGAATACAGTTCTAGGGAGGTGAAGAATACAGTTCGAGGGATGTGAAGAATACAGTTCAAGGGGTGTGAAGAATACATTTCGAGGGAGTTAAAGAATGCAGTTCTAGGGTCGTGAAGAATACAGTTCGAGGGAAGTGAAGAATACAGTTGGAGGGATGTGATTTTGATTTGAATGCAATTGGAATTGATAAATACAATTACCGATACAGCCGGGGAAAAAGTCTTAAAGCTACAAAGCAAGTTATACTTTATGGTCTACTAAAGTAGTAAGGGATGAACACATTAACTGTACAACTAAAAAAGCTCTACATATACAAAATAAACATACAAAATAAAACCATAACTAATTTTAAATGATATCTTTTAGTATGACATTAGAAACACCCATTACAGTAAATCTAGCAAGAAAATTTTCAAATATTTATAAAATCAGCAACAAAATGATTTTTAGATTTAAATCAAGCATGTACAAGTCTCAAACAATATTGATATTGCATTTTTGTGCGTTTTACTGACTTTTAAACGCAAACAGCATTAATCAAGACTCACCCTCTGGAATAAACTTCGAATTTGATAGCGTGTCGTTTAAAGACACGCAGACATTGTCTGTTGTTGCGTTGTATCGGCAGAGTGAAGACCGCCTCGTACTGCGGACTGTTCGTGTCCTTCACTGTACCGGTGCGGTCGGATACTGGCGCTTCCTGCAATGTTCGCAGTCGGGGAAATATATTTCCTATCCACTTTTCACACTCACAATAAGAAACTTATCTATACTTAATATTATAAAGAGGAAAGTTTGTATTTTTTGGATTACCGAATGTACTGAAATAACACAAAAACTACTGGGCTGATATCGAAGATTCTTGCACCATTAAAAAGCTATGTTATCACTGAGTAAGATAGGCTATATTTATTTTTTGCGGACGAAGTCGCGAGCAGTGAGGCGCTACTATTGGTTGGTTGTTATTTGATATAGAAAAAAGATTTTGTGACGTTTAACTTAGATAAAGGGGCTCTAGTGAGTTAGTCTATATATTAACTGTGGTAGTGCCCGCTTTAACATCTTCGCACTGCAGGGCCGGCTCGCTCGGTGTATACAACGACCACACAGAAAACAGGCGTGAAGTGGGAGCAATTCCGCGTTTCGTCTGATGAGTGTGGTGCCGGAGGCCTAATTTTGGTCCCTTTTCCTTAGAGGGACGGATGGGAAGGAAAAGTGGATTTGACGGCAGAGGAGACGCATAGGAAGAGGAAATATCCTCTTTATGTGCGTCTCCTTCCACCGTCGATTAAGGGTAGGCAACGCATCTGCAATTGCGGATGTCTATGGGCAGCGGTCGCTACGCCATATCGGCGGTTTTAAGTGGCCGCTTGCTCGTTTGCCACCTTATGATATATAGAAAACATGTCGAACGATTAACTTTCTAAATGAAATTCAATTTAAAGGGGGAAGCGAATTTTACTCTTTGACTGAAGTCGGTTCCAATGTACAATCAAAGAAATCCGCAGTGATCCACTTATAAAAATACTCCTTGCAATGGTTTGTTTTTCCTTCGTCTCTTCTCTTTAGAATTATAGAGATAACAACATATTATAAACTTTGTGACTTTTTCTTACCTGTGGATAAGGGAAATCGAATTTAACGTATGTATCGATTTCTTTAGGGTTGGGCACGTTGTACGCGATGCCGCGCACGATACTCAGCTCTAACTCGTTCTCGTTAAGGTCCGTGTTGCACTGCACTACGGAGAACACTTTATTCTCGTAGTGGAACTTCGGCGGGTCGTGGCCTAAGCTGGAAATTAATTTATTATACAAGATTTTTTTTTAGAATACAATGAACTAGCTGTTGTTAGCGACTTGGCTTGCGTAACATTAAATATAAAAATATAGTCTTACTGATAACGTGGCTTTTTAATGGTGAATGAATTTTTGACTAACCTAGTAGTTTTTAAGTTACTTCAATACATAAAGAAATACAACCAATGAGCGTCAGTGGCTCTGTGGTTTAAGCACTTGACTTGTAATCTACAGGTCTTGGGTTCGAATCCCGCTATACCAATGTGATTTTCGATTTTTCGAATTTTCATATGTACATAATTTACCCGATTTAAAAGATATGTTTAAAGTCAACCCGCAGTGGGCCAGCGTGGTTGACTATGGCCTAGTCACCTAGTAAATGTACTATTGTAATAGGCAAGATGTTTTATCTTGATATTTTAGGAAAATAATCCTGGAGTAACATATAACATAATTTATCTGTTAACTTAGGCTACATTTTAATTCTTGAAAAAAAAAAAAACATTATAAAATATAGCCTATTTCATTTAAAAAAAAAAAACAAAAGCAAGAACCCTATGTGTTCTTCCAGACTATTCTCTACATCGATGATAAATTTTGTCTAGATCCTTTCAGCCGTTTAGGCTAGAAACTCTTAACAAACAAACATCCATCCATCCAAATTTTCGCATTTATAATATTTTTGAAATATGATGATAATTTATGATGCGGAAGGCGAAGGACCGCAATCTGTGGAAGGTATTGGGAAATTTACAGTGGTAGTGCCCGCTTTAACATGTTAGCACTGCAGGGCCGGCACGCCCCCCTTAGTACCATGACCACACAGAAGACAGGCGTGAAGTGGAAGCAATTCCGTGTTTCGTCTGATGGTGCCGGAGGCCTAATTTAAGTCCCTTTCTCTTTACCACCCTTATCTCATAAGGAGAGGATGGGAAGGGGAAGTGGATTTGATGGTGGAGGAGATGCATAGGAAGGGGAAATATCCTCTTTATGTGCGTCTCCTCCTCCATCGGATAAGGGTCGGCAACGCATCTGCAATTGCGAATGTCTATGGGCAGCGGTCGCTTCGCCATTTAGGCGGATTCAGGTGGCTGCTTGCTCGTCTGCCACCTTATGATATAAAAAAGGCCTATGCCCAACAGTGGGCAGATAAAAGCTGTTGATGATGGTAATTTCTTAGAAGTGTTGTGCTAGCTAATTTATAATTACCTTTTAGCGACAACCACGACATCTAAGTCCTGTTTGACAGTATTAGCGAGTTGTTCGAAGCGGTGCATGTCTGCGAGGTGTCCGAGCGCGCGGCAGTGCTCCTTGTGGCGCAGGCACTGCTGCAGCTGCGCCGTCAGCTGCCGCTGCAGCCGCGACAGCACATCCTCCTCTTCTGCATCCGTCTCTAACTCATCGCAGTCTTCTTTTGATACTATATCGAAGCTGGAATTGTAGGATAAACCCCTCTATAACGTCGCGCTATAATATCCCCTATAACACGTTTTACAACACAAAAGAGAGGAATCGCGTTATAAAAGGTTCCTTTAAAAAATCGCGTTATATGGGTGTATGGAGTGAGTTCTAGGGAGTTTATTGTAGTGTTTTAATTAAAGGTAGCTGTTGACTGTGACTCCGCATTTAGTTAAAATTAACTAAGCCTTTGTGTTCTTCCAATGTTCTATATCCTTTGAACCGAACTAGCGGACCTCATTAACACGAAAAAGTAGCCTATGATATTTTAATAATAATAATAATAAATTTAATCCATTCAGAAGGCAAACATGATACATTTAATTACATAGTTGACAAAAATAATGACAGAGGGAAAAAAAATTTACAAACGTCAAAAAAAAATGATACATACATATGTACACAATAATAGACATCAAATTTATGATTTTTTTAACTAAGTTTGACATATCATTATTAAAATCAGTGTCGTTGCAAGAAAAAAGGCATTTTATCTGTAAGTGGCACACCGCAAATTTCTCCAACTGTACATTACTGAGACAACAGACAGAATCAATATTTATCCAGATATTCATGTTTTACTGTACTCACGTCTGTTCGATCTGTTTCTTTTCCCTGGGCGGCAGGGGCAGGGACGTGAGGTCGACGAGCAGTCCGCCGCGCGCCGCCTCTATCACGGAGTCGAAACCCTTCGCTGCCCGCAGATACTCTTTAGCCTGGCTAATGTTGCCTGCAAATGTTTATTTATCAACTAACGCACTCAGAGACATTTAATGCTTAATTAAACTGGTTCGTAATGTAGTTGTAACTATGACTGGTTAGTGCAGTAAAACTGAAGCTAAAAAGCTACAAATTAAGGGTATAAATCAGTTTTACTTTTCTGAATAATTTATTTATAATATTTTATTGTTTTATGTTATTGATTTATCATACTAATATTATAAATGCGAATGTTTAGATGGATGGATGTTTAAAAGAGTTTGTAGCCTAAATTGCTGAATGGATCTAGACGAAATTTAGCATAGATGTAGAGGATAGTCTGGAAGAGCATATAGCCTACTCACTATGTTTTTTTCTTATTCCACGCTGACGGAGTCGCGGGCGAAAGTTGATTACTAATAAAATATTTGTATCGTAAGACATATTTACCTTCTCTCTTAGCATTGAGCGCGGCTTCTTTGAATTCTTTCTGCTTGTGAAGTAAGAAGGTCAGCTGGCGGTCGTGGCGGGAGGTCGCAGTGGAGGGAGAGGTGGAGGGCGACGTGGAAGGGGCTGTGGAGGGGTGTGGCGAGGCGGGGGCGGGGGCTGCGCGGGGAGGGGCCCGCGGCGCGGCGGGGGACGCGTGTCCACTACCCTGGAATTAACATACAATTGTCTTGCCTAGTAACATTAAATAGAAAGAAAATAAGTTGGGTATACCCTTATACGTGGGAATACTACTATTGAACTGTTACGTAGTGGTGAGTTACTACTTGAGCGTGGGCAATTAGACCACATTTACTATAACGTGGGCAACGGAGTTTATTCCCACCTGTGGGCTATGTAGTCATAATTACTGAACAGTGGTGCGTACCCGCTGGTCGTGGGCATTGTAACTCACCTGTTCAGTGGGCAGTGGTACGTACCCGCTAGGCGTGGGCAATGTATCTCACCTGTTCAGTGGGCAGTGGTGCGTACCCGCTGGGGGTGGACAATGTAACTCACCTGTTCAGTGAGCAGTGGTGCGTACCCGCTGGGCGTGGGCAATGTAACTCACCTGTTCAGTGGGCAGTGGTGCGTACCCGCTGGGCGTGGGCAATGTAACTCACCTGTTCAGTGAGCAGTGGTGCATACCCTCTGGGCGTGGGCAATGTAACTCACCTGTTTAGTGGGCAGTGGTGCGTACCCGCTGGGCGTGGGCAATGTAACTCACCTGTTCAGTGAGCAGTGGTGCGTACCCTCTGGGCGTGGGCAATGTAACTCACCTGTTCAGTGAGCAGTGGTGCGTACCCGCTGGGCGTGGGCAATGTAACTCACCTGTTCAGTGGGCAGTGGTGCGTACCCGCTGGGCGTGGGCAGTTCGTCTACCGGCAGTGGGCGTCCGGCCGCGTGGAGTCGTATCGCGTCCTGGTACTGCTTCACGATACGCCCCATACGACGAGCTTTAGACGAATTACCTTGCTCTTTAGCTTTCGCTTCTTGATCCTATAAACCAAAGCTTTGTTTCAATAAATTGGTTTCAATGCGTAAAGAACACAATGGTGCGAATAAACGCACAAAATTATCCAAAGGCAAAATTGGATATTGCTAAAATTCTTCTTTGAAACATTTATCCTATTCCTAGGATTTTTAAAGTACTTTAATATTATTATGAGATTTTTAATTAAACATTACCTGGAATGCAGCAAGTCTTTGTTTTAAAGCTTCAGCCAGTGTCGACGCGGTTATCAAACCTGCAGGTTCAGGTGTTGGCTCCAGAGGACTTGCTTCTGTTAATTTAAGGGTATTTAAATTAATGTTACTAGCGTTCAATTCTGTTTTTTTAATTTGAATTTATTTGTTTTAATTTTGTACATACCCGTAGAGTTCTGCACACTTTCTTCACCCTTTTGTTGGGACTTGAATGCAGCAGCGATGGCTTCAGGTGTAGGCAATTCGCTTAGGTCCATCTCTTGACCAGCCTTGTACGCGTCCACCACCAGCTCAAACTGCTTTACCACCTTCAGGTGTTCCAGTGCTAGTGCTTTGTCCCCAGAATGCTTACACGATAATGCCGCAGCTTTAAACTCTTCTTTACGTCCTGAAAAATTATTAAATACCCTACAATTTTTGATTTAAATTTTTACTTTTTAATGATTTTATGAATGTTTTTGTTTATGATTATTTTTAGTGTTATTCGTGAATACTTAACAATTAGCGACTTTACAACATTTAACAAATTATTATATTCTTAACTCTCTTATAAAGCGGAGTGATTTGTAATTTTGTATCTCAAAAACTAGTGGGTTTATTTCAAAAATTCTTTCACCATTAAAAAGCTACATTATCAGTAAGTAACAAAGGGCAAATAGTTTATTATTTTATTAATCTCACGCGGGCGAAGTCGCGATCAACAGTACTATAAATAACAATAATAATTTTCTTGATTTCATCGGAAATATGTTAATTAACCATAGAGTAAACATATAGCAAAATTTTATTACATTGATATTTCAATATAACATAAGTAAAAACTTACTTAATATAATCTGCAAACCCTCTTGTCTCTCTGAGCTGATCCCTTGTGATTCCACTCTCGGAGGTGGGGGTGGAGGCTCCATTGGTTCCGGGGCTATTGGTAGCTCCTCGGCTTCTGGAGCTGGCACGGTCCTTGGCGGAGCACTTGGTATAGGTTCAGCTGCAGGTTGCTCCGGGGCTGATTTGCCGAGAGTGACTGGAGGTGGTATATCTTCATTCTTGATAGGTCTGCCCGCTTTAGCCTGCTTCAGTAGATCATTGAGGGTTTTTAAACCACGCCCGAATCTGTATATACAAGATTAGAAGTAACTTCAATTATTATAAGGTGACTTGTCATATCTTTCATTAGCATACTACTGTCTTTAAAGTTTTAGTTGTTAAGATTCATAAGCAAGTTTCTAGTGGACCCGAGGTCACTTAGACCATTTAATATTGCTATTATAAATGACTTGCTGTTGCTGGCAACTTCGTCCGCGTGAAATTAAAAAATAATAAAACTCAAATTCCCTCTTTATAATATTAGTAGCAACGAAGCATAGCTACCACAAAAAGGTCTAAGTATTAAGATGTTGGTTATCGGACTCACCTGAAGGAGTTGGGGACAACTGCCTCTAGACAAAGCCTAGATCAATTTCCACCAACATTTTACTGTGTTATTTACATTTATCTACAACTAAAAAAAGAAAAATAAAAGTAGCCTATGTTTTCTTCCAGACTATCCTTTACATCTATGCCAAGTTTCAACGAAATCCGTTCAGCCGTTTAGGCTACAAACTCTAACAAACATCCATCCTTCCATCCATCTAAACTTTCACATTTATAATATTAGTAACATTACCTTCTAGCACGGCTACTCTCTCCACTGTCCTTAGCATGTTTCTCAGCTGCACTATAATTAGTTATTCTGTCTTGTAACACACTGATAACACTACTGTCAGTACTTCCCGGTGGCGGGGGCGCGGGACGGGCGGCACGGGGCGGGGGAGGGGGTGCCTCATCATCATCTATGGCAAGCTCTTTCAGCTCACTTAGAAGGTCAGGGTCATCATCATCACCTGTTTAGGAAAAACCAGATTTTCAAAGGTATTTAAGCTTTTAAGGTAACTGCAGAAGTATATTAGGTTTGGACAATTGCGGATGTTCATGGGCAGTGGTCACTTTCTGTTTCGGTGGATTCAGGTGGCCACTTGCTCATTTGCCTACTTATACAATAAAACAATAAAAAAAAAAGGTAAAACGCAAAATGAGGATTTCCTTAATTGAATAGAGGAAGTCTCAAATGAAACAGTCATCAGTGTGATTCATTTTGAATTGTATAATAATAGCAGTTATATCTTGGATTAACTACAAAAAAAAATCACTATGTATGGCGAGAAACCCTATATGTCAATGTGCCTGTTTTTTTGTTAAAAAAGATTAATAAGATCATAGACCTGCCATAAAACCATCTATTCTCAATTTTCTGAACACTCCATAAAATTTTGTTGTAATTAATGCTACAACTTGTGTGACTGAAATTGTTGTAGTATTAAAAAGTTGCCAATGGTTTGTTATCTAGTTATTATGAACTTTTTTACTTATATATTACTAGTTTTCACCTGCGACTATGTCCGCATGGTATTAGGAAAACAAAACCAAGTAACCTATGTGTTCTTCCAGACTATCCTCTATGTGTATGCCAAATTTCATTGAGATCCGTTCAGCAGTTTAGGCTACAAACTCTAACAAATATTCATCCATCCATCCATCTGAACTTTCACATTTCTAATATTAGTATGAAGTATGATTTACCTATACATGATACTGGATACATATTTTGCTTATCAATTAGATTTTGACTTCTGTTAATTTAAAGTTCAAAGAAAAAATTGTATCTTTGTAATGAGCAAAAAATTTGAATTTAAAATAACAAAAAAAATGTTTTCCATAATATCTTACATACAGATGTGTTATTTTAATGTCATATATCCTACCTGATCCTTCATCATCAGAGGGAATGTCTTTTAGGCTCTCAGCAATCATAGCATCTAGATTTGTTACTGGTACTGGTGCAGGTTTCTTGGGCCTCCGAGCTCCTCCACCACTGATAGCTGCCAATTCAGCTTCCAGATCTATGTCGTCATCAGAAAGATCAAGAGGTTCGTCTCCATCGTCAAAGTCTGGGATGTCTAGTAGACCAAACTACAACAATAAGATAAATCATAATTTAGTACTTAATACTTGTTGGAAAATACTAAGCCTTTAAAATAATATTCCTATTAGTTTTATGGTAAAGGTTATGAAGTTTCATGTATTTTAATCATTAATCAATTGAACTTTCTAAGACAAAACAAATAATGACTCACTTGGGACAAGTTGCTCTTTTTTCCACTACTCGGTTTTCGAGACATTGTACCTGATGGCTAAGGTCAATTAAAATAAAGCTTTAATAACAATGTAGTCGGTCGGTGTGTTATAAGATTCAAGTACAAAAGATTTAATTAAATTTGGTATTTTCAATTTTCTACTCAGTTTTTGACTTTGTCTACACAACAATTTCCAACTGACATTAAATTAATGAATGACAATGAATGAATTGATCAGTGAATGTCAATGTGACAAATAAATGTCAAATCCAAAACCATAAGCTATATTGTACTTTTTTTACTTTTTTAAGAGTAATGTTGAATGGAATGTAAGCAACACTGATTCAGACCAATTTTAATCTGTAATGATCACCGAGTGCAAATTCTATTTTATATCCTCTTTGATTAATTCCTATGTCCCTCAAAATTATAACTTCTATTTGCGCCCTCTCATCCCTTTTTCTACTTTTTTTTTTGCGAGAATTTTCTCTATTTAGAGTGAAGATTAAACGCTGCTATTTCATGCACTTTGAATAAGACTTACTCGATACTCGGTAAATGAGAACTCACAAGACGTGACAAATTATGTAAACTTGTTGTTTAGTAAGTTAAACGCCTTGTTTTTAATCTAATGATCATAATATTTACCAGATTTGTACAATAAGATTTTTTTTGTGGAAAGTACTAATTTTGCAGCACTTTATAATGTTTTGAGTCTATCCATCTACGCTCTACCTGTCTGTTGTCTGTGGTGAGAGTGACGTATGAACAGCCGAAACGAAAACGAAAGAAAAGCCCTCAGTGCCGTTGTTATCTTCTAAAATTCCTGAAGAATGGAGACAAACGGCCAGGCTAATGGGCTTAAATCCAGAAAGAAAGACAACAGTGATGGGAAAGACAATTTATGGTAATGGTTAATTGTTATTTCACGGGTAACATACAGCATCCATGTAGGGTATCCAATGTGTCACACCTACGTGATGTCAAGATTCTTACCTGAGAACTATACGACCTAGCTGCGACGAACACCTTTTGTGTGTTAAAAAGTTCTAATGTTCAGTGCAACATTCCATTCCATACATAAACATGTGGACTTCTGTGTTTGAGGTAATATGTGATCTTCAATAAAATTACGGTGATTGTCTCTTCTAGGTCTGCGATTTTAGAAGAAGTTCAAAACCAGGGTAATACTAAGCTACCTTCAAACAAGAATGTATTAGTTTTGGGAGATAACGAAACTGGTAAAACCACACTCATAGCTAAGTTACAAGGAGTTGAAGACCCAAAGAAAGGGTCAGCACTAGAATATGCATATATAGATGTAAGAGATGAATATCGTGATGGTAAGTATTTAGATTATATCAAATATGATTCTTATTAGAAAATGAAATTTTCCTATTGTTTTCGATTAATCTCTGTAAACATGATTTTACATCATCAAAACAAAAAACCTTGCATTTTGAATGAAAACAGAACATATTTAAAAGCAGTACAGAGTGACTATTGTCAACTTAAACTGCTACATGAATACAATTGCTGAAAAGCTAGTATTGTAAATAATGTTTGTTTTTATTAAGTTTGATACAATATTTCTCTTGTTTTAGACCACACAAGGCTCAGTGTATGGGTGTTGGATGGAGATCCAGGCCACACAAATCTGCTCAAGTTTGCATTAAATGAGGACACATTCCCACACACTCTGGTCATATTCACAGTAGCGATGACCACACCTTGGGGTTTATTAGATCAATTACAAAGCTGGGCATCAATGCTTGGCGATCACATAGACAAATTAGATCTCACACCTGGTAAGTGTAACAGATAATATTTCTTCTGACTAGGTGTCTTAAAAATAGAATTAGTGGCATATGTTTTCTCCACGGAAGTTTTTACCTGAGCTGAATTTTATTCAGATGCTATCAGCTTTCCAAGATATGTGGTAAACATCTATCCTTCCAAATATTCACACTTATAATATGTTTTAGTAAGATGAAATAGTAAATGGATGGTATTATCAATTTTCTAATAGATAAGTAAGTTAGTGTCTGGGTAAACACAAAACATTTGGAACCAATTTTCAAGGCAGGCAGCTTTATAAGTATTTTTTCTGCCAATAACCCACGGTGTAAAGCACTGTTTTAATTTGCTTCAAAATAATTGAGGAAATTATTTAAACTATACTTATTTCATTATTTTATTTTATGTAAAGAAAGTTTCCAGTTCATTAAATCCTAGGTCAATTTTGTCTCCTTATCATTTGAACTTTCATAGTCATATAATATTATTAAATATTTGAAGATTGTATTTAGTCCTTTGTGATTTATACATTGAAATACTTATGGATACAAATCAATAAGTATAATGTATAAACATAACACAACTTCTTGTCTACTATTGGATGTATGAAATAATGACCGAAATGCTTAAGAAGTCTCGTTTTAGTCAATTATTTTTATGAGAGTTGTTAAGCACTTGACCATACCATAATCTATACATCCAGGTTTGAACCACTAGATATAAAATTTTTTATCAATTTACGAGTTTCACCTGTACATTTAGCTGGCTTTTACAGTGACAAAACACATTGCGATGCAACCTGCACATTTTAGTGTAGAAATTCAAAGACATGAAGTCAATCCGCACTGTGCCAGTGTGCTATATTATGGGCTGTTCACCCCCTAACTTAATTAGTCTCAGAGCCCCTTGGTGGGGATGAAATGTGAGCTGATGATTCACATTTTTTTCATGTTGAAATTAACTTTGAATGTCTTATCAGAGATTTTGTGTAAGAGATTTCTTTACTAGACATTTACAATATAAGCCTTTGATTTGATCCCTCAATAAACTTATATTGATTGAACTTGTATTTACATACATGATACTTTGTAATTATTCATATTTAGTTTTTTTTTGAGCATGTAAAAACTATGCTGACAAACATTGTGATAATCACAGATTCCATCCATAATAAAAGATTGCCAAAACCCTTCATATAACATTACAAATTTTTATATGAAATTAATGAGATATTAAAAAAAAAAAACTTTTCACTAGTTGATAGATTGCTATTATAAAGAATTTATAATGCGTTGTTTAGTTTACGATGCAAATATTTCCGTTAAGATTGTATAATAGATCCGGATTACGTATCATACTAAAAAGGAGCTTAAAGCTAAAGCTTTAAGTTTAAAATTCCTTATACTGTATGCTATTCAAAGACGCTACTAGAATATTAAGGTCCAACATAATGTTTATTTCTTGACGCTGACTCATTTTGTTACGTCAGTGGCGTCTTAGCTTAATATTAAAACCAGCTGCTTTGTTTAGTCATTTTGCCGACAGGTTACGTTTGATCAGTTTAATATGTATATTCACAGCTGGGATGTAAAACTGTTTAACGAAATCGATATTAATGTCAAGGTCAGAGGGTACAAATTGAAATTTTCGATGTGATTTAGAACAGGGAGAGAGACAGAATTAGGAATAGATTGCGCGAAAGGTGACATGTAGTAGGGGATACGGTATTTTGCGTGACGTAACGATGACATGATCAAGAAGGGAGTGATGACTGAGATGATGGATGATGGATGATGGATGATAACACACACAAAAACTTTTTACGTCGACTCTACGAAAGTAGAATAATAAGTACTTGGTCTTTCTCATTTTTCTGCGTCGACTTTTCCTACTTATTAGACTATATCTACCTGCGTTGTGTCGGTCTACTAAACTATATCCGTCTTTATAAGGCTTCTAAAGGTCTTGTCCTCGTTATATTTTCGGGTATTTAGACCAGGTGGGTGACCGGTAATCAAATCGCTTGATATTTGAACACTAGATAACAATATCCGAAATCTTTGTCGTGTGATATCCTCAAAATATTATAAATAATCTTTGAAAGTCTGTTTGTTCTTAATTCTATGGTAATTTGTAGTTCTTAACTCTATAACGTTTACTTCATGTAATTAAAAATCATAGACAATTAACATATTAAAGATACGTTACAATTATATCTCATTAGAATAATTTATTTCCAGTTAGTGAGCTTTTTGAAGTTTTAACGGGATTCTGTTTCCGGAACTCACCAGTTTGTTACACTTTGCTTATTGGATAACACTTTAAAATTAGTTGATTTACAGTTTTTACAGGGAGTAGGATAAGGTAGGGGAGATGATGAAATAAATTTTATTATCGTCATCAGCCCAATTTACATCCGTTAAGGCACAGTCAACCACGGGAGCTTATTGCGGATTGGTTGACTTTGAATTTCTTCGTTAATATGTGCAGGTTGCATTATGATATAAATAATAATATTTCATTCAAATTCATTACGTAAATTTGATAAATTTTCTGAGCGTAAGAAGTCCCCTCAGTAAGGAAAGTTTTTTACTATTCAAATAGATTTTAAACATTTCGGCTGTGAAGTGCATGTGGCGGGCTGGCGGGTGCGATGCTCTCGTCTGCAATTAATTTGTGAAAGTGCACGGTCGCGGGAAATGACCGCCGTTGACTAAATACATCACTGAAATTGCAACGTTTTTGCAACCAGGAAACTGAATAGCGACGATTCATATTTTTTCAAGACTTTTTACAGTACTAGTAAAGCAATCTTAATGCACGTTGCTTTCAAATTAAGACCTCATCTTACTAATATAATTATACGAAAATTTAGATGCATAGATGTTTGTTAGAGTTTGTAGCTCATGCTACTGAAAGGATCTCGATAAAATTTGACACCTGGAAGAACATAGGCTACTTACTTGTCTTTTCAATTACACGCGGACGGTGTCGCGGGTGCCTGCCAGTTCGGCTATAAAATAATCTTTATAAAGTAAACAAGCTATGCCATTTACAAAGGAAGCGACTGACCAATTACAATTGAAATTTGTCAGTTAATTACAATGACGTCAGCATCATTGTCCGTGATATCTTCAGTATCACAATGATTATACACAATAATAGTTTATAGATTTGCAATTTGTAAACCAACATACAAGAATATTCCCAAAGGGTCTTCAAAAGATGAAGGCAATCAAGGGGGGCAAGCTCTAGGTAGTCGTAAATTCTAATATACAATCCCTAGAGTCCTACATAAATAATTAGAATCAATCTGCCAGTTTTTCATTAAAAATTACTATAATAAGCATATTCTCTTTGGAATAAGGATTTTACTACAGCCTTCTTGATTATCGGCCTTCCCTACTTCAATGTTCGGGTCGTGACGCCCGTGAAGACAAAGCTTTTAGGTCTGGTCTTTCTCTTCTTGATTTATATTATTAAATTGTAATTGTTACAGTTTTCATTATAAAAACATATACAAAAACATATCGTATGTTATAGTGCAATCGAACAAGCATATCGTCCCTGTATCTTAGCGTGTTCTTTCCAGAACAAAGGTTGGATAGCAAGAAAGTACAGACGCAGAAGTGGCAGCGGTATACGGAGCCTGGTGATGAGCTGGAGCCGGCTGCTTCACCGATGAAGCGATCCTCACGCAACCTGGCTGATGAACTGGCTCATGATGATGATGACGACGCGCCATTACCGGAAGCCGTGCTCACCACGAATTTAGGACTGGATATTGTCGTCGTTGTTACTAAGGTAAGGATTGCTAGTGAACTACAGAAATGTAAAATTAAATTGACATATTTTTCTCTCTTCAATTCTATTATTGTTTTGGAAAGTGTTTAAATTGATTACAAACATATCTATTTATATTTCAATTGCAATCTTAGAACGCTCACACTGTTGACTAAACTATATCAACGGTTTAGTCTCGTTTTGATTCCTATGAGTTTATATGGAAGTGTGCACACTACTCGATTTTTAGTTGTGCAACTAAACAGTTGAATTCGCTGCGAAACAATCGACAATCGCACAACAGTTTGCTAGTTTAGTCAAAGTGCGTCTGCTCTTTTAAAGGTAATATTGTTTAGATCTCATTTCAATTGAAATTCAGCACATTTATTTGTAGTAAACTAGCTTTCGCCCGCGACTCCGTCTGCGTGGAATAAAAACAACAAAAGCGAGTAGAATATGTGTTCTTCTAGACTATACTCTACATCTGTGCCAGATTTGATCGAAATCGGTATAGCCGATTAGGCTACAAACTAACAAAAATCCATCTAAACTTTCGCATTTATAATATTAGCATGAAGTATGATTGTTTTTTTTTACGCTGTTATGACTTTTAACGCTGTAATATTACCTCTGGTAGACGGACTACATGAGCACATTAGAGAAGGAGCACGACTACCGCGATGAACACTTCGACTTCATGCAGCAATGGGTGCGGCGCTTCTGTCTGCAGTACGGTGCTGCGCTATTCTATACCAGCGCCAAGGAGGACAAGAACTGCGATCTGTTATACAAATACCTTACGCACAGGATATACGGACTGCCTTTCCGTACGCCGGCACTTATAGTGGAAAAGGATGCGGTGCTCATGTGAGTATAGACTGAACTTCTTTTTTCTAGGTCTGTGTAATTGAGATGCAATGGACAATGCAGGATAACCTACAATCTAAAAATTGTAATTAACTTAAGTAAATAGGTTCTGCAGTTTTTACTGTGCAGTCGAACTTAATAAAAATTGTTTTTTTATTGACGTAAGGTGGCAAACGAGCAAGCGGCCACCCGAATCCGCCAAAATGGCGAAGCGACCGCTGCCCATAGACATCCGCAATTGCAGATGCGATGCCTACCCTTATCCGACGAAGGAGGAGACGCACATAAAGAGGGTATCTCACCTTCCTATGCATCTCCTCCACTGTCAAATCCACATCCCCTTCCCATCCTCTCCTTATGAGAAAAGGGTGGTAAGGAGTAAGGCATATAAATTAGGCCTCCGGCACCACACTCATCAGAAGAAACACGGAATTACTTCCATTTCACGACTGTCTTCTGTGTGGTCGTGGTACTACACCGGGCGTGCCAGCCCATTCGTGCTAAGATGTTAAAGCGGGCACTACCACTATTAAAATTGTTATAGTTAGTAAAATATCAAATGGTAGACATGTTAAAATAATCTAGAATATTATCAAAATTCTCTTAAAGGGCATGTATGTATTAGTGAGGGGGACAGACGTAATGTATTTTGTCTAGACAAGGGATGACTTAGACTTTTGGTAGTTAAAATCAATAAAATACAATGCATATCTGTTTAGAATACATTACTTTTTAGGTAAAAATTCTATTATATTTATTTCATGTTGCATTTTGTTAGATTGCGTGCGACCCTAATAATAACAGTAAACGTATATTTGCGAACCCCTGGTCAAGTCAATCGATGGAAACTAGACGAAAATCTAAACATATAAGTGGCTAAATACACTTAAGTGTGAAAGCCAAAAAGAAAAAAAACATCTAAGTAATAACATTTAAATTATTTGTGGACATTACGTATGTGCGTTGCTTATAACAAAAGGACAATTAAAAAAAACTGTAAACTTTGTTTTTATTTCTTCGGGACGAAGTTACGACCATAAGTTGGTTATAAATCTTACAGTAGCATTTTACTTATTATTTGTTGAATATCTAAAAAATAAGAGTAAAAGTAGAGAATTGCATTGCATCTGTATTGTGATAGAAATGAGTCATTTGGCGCGTGTCAACGTGACTCATAGATCGATAGTCTGCGCTGCATACTGCGATAAATTTATTCCCTATATTTTTACGCTTGAGGTTTTTAATACAAAAGTTAACAGGAAAGTCACATCGAAATGTTTATTAAAAAATTTGCGTAACACATCATCAACAGGTTTTTGCCCTCCACATCATCAACTTGTCCTTATCCCTTATGGAGGGTCGGCACAGTATGTTGCTCTTCCATACATCTCTATCAGTCGTCGTACCTGAAACCACACCTTTCTTAAGCATATCCTATTTCACACAATCCATCCATACTTTCTTCGGTCTTTTCCTTTGTAGCCATCGACATTTTTCTCCTCCACATAACTATCATACGTCATCTCAGTCATCACTCCCTTTTTGATCATGGTATGGGTTACACATCTCAGATAATTTAATAAGTTACTTGCTTATGTCCTATTTTAGACTGTAATTCCTCTCTGTACACAATTTTCATCCAGATTCGTTAAGCCACTATTAAGTTGTTTTAGATTTAGATTAGGTAAATCTATATATTCAATCATTCGCACTTGTACATCATAATTCACCCCCGTAACTTAAAGGGTTAAGCAGAGGCTTCCATTTCGCACATTACTGTTTTTCGTACACATTAAGTAAAAATAAATTCGGTTTTCCAGTCCAGCGGGATGGGACAGTATGAAGAAGATCAGCATATTGTATGAAAATATGCAGTCGTGCAAGCCTGATGATTACTACCGGGATATCATCGTGCAGCCCGCCACCAGGAAAGTCAGTATATACCGCATTTTATATTTCATTCACTATACATCCCCATGTTAGGGGTGACTAGGCCATAGTCAACCACGCTGGCCTATTGCAGGTTAACTTCACACGTGTCTTTTAATTTCTTCGCCGATATGCAGACATTAGGATGTTTTCCTTCACCCTAAGAACTTCAGGTAAATTATCTTCTAAGGAAGAAAATCACATTGGCATGTGGCCAGATTCGAACTCAGGACCTGGGAATTACAAGTCAAGTGCTCAAGTCCTGGCTACCGACGTTCTGATTTCATTCGTTTTTATGATTGAGTGAAATAAAATAGAACATAATATACATTTATTGCTAGAAAAAAAGAAACAAAAGAATTATAATCTTACTAACATTATAAATGGGAAGGTTTAGATGGATGGATGGAGGGATGGATGTTTGTTAAAGTTTGTAGTCTAAACGGCTGAATGGATCTTGATGAAATTTGTCTTAGATGTAGATAGTCTGGAAGAACACATAGGCTACTTAATGAAGCAGCACGGTACAGCTCGTAACATAAATATTGTGTGTAGAGCGGCGGACTGCGCGAGGCGGAGGTGTGCGCGGAGGACGAGCAGGCCTTCCTGCAGCGGCAGCTCGCCGCGCTGCAGGCCGGCACGCCCGCGCCGCGCGCCGACTCCCCGCTGCGGGCCGCGCAGCGCACCGCCGCACAGGTACACACGCACGCACACACACACCCACCCACACACATACACACTCACTTACGCACACTCGCACGCACACACAAAATTAACATGGTGAAGTCCAAAACTTTATCATATATGATTTAAAGAAACAGTACAATCTCTAGATACAAGTAATAAACGACGAAGGCAATTAAACTCTTACAAAATATAATAACAACCAATGATAACTACCGAAACATCCAAATGTTATGGGAATCTGAAGATATTGTGTGGGTAAGGATTATATGGCAGTAACATTTTATAACATCAAAATTCCTCAAAAAAAAATACATGTGCTGATACATCAGCATGATTTTCTGACTTTAGAGCTACGGCCATGATGATGCTAACTTAACATCTTAAGTTTCAATCGTTATTTATTCTGAACACAGTGTTGAATAATAAAGTATAATTACTAACTCGTCAATTCTCAAAGTTGTATCAATTTAAATACTAAACAGTCACTACAGTCACTTAAATTAGCATATATTTTGGTTTATAGCCAAACTCTAAAAACTAGCAGGTCTATCAATGTCCAAAAAAAAACATAAGATGCTTGTATATCTATACAAGAATCACGCTATAGCGCTATCTATTATTTCATCTCAGAAACAACATGCGATAGTCTTGTAATTCATGTTTTTAACAGTTGGACGGCACAAAGATCATGGGCGGCGGTACTCCCGGCAACGAAGGCGTGCTGGCCAACTTCTTCAACTCGCTGTTATACAAGAAGACTGGTTCCCCCGGCGTGGGCGTGGGCGTGGGCGGGCCGCGCGCAGACGCCTCGCCCGCAGCCGCCGCCGCCGCGCGCTCCGACGCCGCGGCAGAGCTGGACCGCCTCACCCGCGCCAAGCGCGCGCCGCACCCCGCGCCGCTCGACCTCAACGCATCCGACTGCTAGCCAGATACCGTCAGTATTATATACCTAGCTGTTCCCGTGCGGCTTCATCCGCATGAAATTTACCCCCTAAGTTAAATGGCGTGAAAATATATAGCCTAAAGCGTGACGTAAGTGTAGGGCTTTTTATTAAAAAGAGTATAATTCAAAAATATGCTGTAATTGCTGACATCTTAGGCAGTAAAGTGTATGTTTACGCTTTATTATAACAGTATAATTAAAACTCACTTTTTAGTGTTATCGATACCAGTGTAGCACAACACTATATCATTATCGTACATGTCCCATCAAGTCACTTTTCCTTTATGTTAAGAATATCGATACAGGTGAAGCACAACACTAGATGATTGACGTCCCCCGTCCCTATTACATCTGTCAATGTCAATCTGAAGTATGTAGGATAAACGCGCCATACTTGACTGTATTTGGTAGACTTAGTATTGAAGTAGAATAACGTTTTTACCATTATGGTATTGTTTAAATTACTATAAATTTTAGCTAGGGTATCCAACGTTAAGTGCGACTAGATCTTAGTCGTTGGCTCACTGCGGGGTACTCTTCATATTTTAGAATTTCTTCGCAGATATGTTGAGGCATCGCAATATTTTCCTTTACAGTGAGGAAGTCGGGTAAATTATGTACATACAAAATTCGAGAATCACATTAGTACATATATGACAGGATTCGAACCCAGATCCTGTTGATTACTGTTCAAGTGCTTAAACCACTGAGCAATCGACGCTATTGTTATTAAATTGGTCTTTGTAAATGTTCATCTAATTAATACATCGATGTTTTAATTTCAGATAAGATTAATGCGGCGAGCGAACACAAACTCAGTGTAGCTCCGGCTCCCGACAGCGACGCTTGCGCACCGCGCCAACTGTCTCAACCTTACTCTATACATTGCTGGCTTGTACTTGGTTGTCGACGCACCGGTGACCGCACGCAGCGATGTAACTCGGACACATCTGTATCGACTGTTTCGACTGCTGTGATTGGTCGGCCGGTCGCGACGGACGACGGCTATTGGTGGAATACTGTGACGTCATAGCGCGGTGACGCCGCGTAATATCGGCAAAGAGTGATTATTAATGTATTGTTTATATAAAGGATTAGATGTATTGTAAATTTAATTTTGGTACGAGCAGGCCATTTTCCTCGTAATGATATTTCATATTTACACTCCGAAAGTTATAAAAAAAATAAAATATAGAATTCTGTCAAATGTCAATGAAATAACTAATAAAACACAATTTTAGTATAATTTATTTTACTTAGTTATGCGGAAAATGTGTCCTGTCTACCATTAGGAGCAACTTTGTAATACATTTCCATTACACTACAGTGAAGTCGAAAAGCGGAAATTATTTCCTATTTCATAATTGTTTTATTTGTAATATGTTTTTTAATGATATTAATTAAGTATTTATTTAGTTAGCCTCAAGTGTAACTGGTTAAGATTATGTGACGGCAACAATACGTATTTAGTAATAACAATTTTAAGACAGGCGATAGTTGTCAGGAACATTTTCATACGGTTCGTCCGTCGTTTCTGTGGTAATAATGTTCAAACTTTACATTTTTCCAAAACTAATAATACTTGAACTCTCTGTTCTTCGGTGTTCTATACCAAACAGGGGTCAAATGCAGTTCTAGAATATTCTATAGACTAAACCGCAGTAAGGACGGGCCTTCTGTACTTAAATATAGGAATGGTTCAGAAATGAGATAACGTGATCTTCTGTGAAGACTGGCCGTGAATTAATTACTATTTTACAAAACTGTCCGATTCTATTTTGAACAAAGACAACAATGATTTACGCAAAATTCGCGAATTTTATAATCTACCCTTTTTGATATGGCAACACTGAAAAAATTACCAATTTAATAGTTTTTGAGAGGTCTGTGTTGCCATGTATTAATTTTATTACGCGTACAAAATTGTGATATTTATGTTTGTTGCCGTGTATGAACGTTTTAATTTCTGTTGCGCGCATTACTGCGGTCGGCAGCTACTCTGACGTTTTATTGAATATTTCTTATTTGATAATAGTCAATATTGAAAATAAGGTAACTAATATGCATAGATAGACCTTTACGTTTCACGACTAGTAAAAACATACTTTTTTTACGCAATAGAAAAGTCATTGAGTGATGATTATTCGTATTTGCGTGCTTAAAATCTCGTAATAAAAAATACTGAAGAGGTAGGTCTTCATCTAAATTATCAATTATTTAATTCGTTTGCACAAGTTATTTTGGTTTAAAAACACAAAACTAATATAATTTTTGTTACTCCGAAATATGTATTGGAATTTTTTGAGATTATTTTACTAATAATATCGAAAAAAAACCGAATGTGATATAATTTGTAAGGGACTATCTATGTATTTGGAATTTCGTCAAAACAGTTTTTCATGTCATTGTTCATTCGCTCGATTAAAATGTCGCGTAAACTTAAAATTAATGGTGACCTTTGTTGCTCTTTGTAGCCGAATTTATTTATTTTTAATTCACTAATCTTTGGGAGATTATTTTTATATCTGGCCACATTTAATTGAAAAATGTACGATAATGAGTGTATACATTTTTTTGTAATTCGATTTTTTTTTGTGGTGCAATACAGAACATTCCAAACATGGTTTGGTGCTTATTATTTTAGTAAAATTATCGAATATAAATCTGGAGTTTCATTTTTTAATATATCGCCCGTTTAAGTTTCGTTCACAAACAATCGGTTAGTGATTCTCTTAAGCACTAAAGGTCACTATTATTAAAAAGTTTACATTTAAGAAAACGCCATTTAGACCACAGACCATATCGTAGGTACTTAATCTTGTAGCTTTGGAAAAAATATTATCGATGGATATAATGGGCTTAGCTTTCCGAATCCAATTCCTAAACTTAAGTATTTATGTTAATTATTAATCTTTTGGATTCGTAACTTATTAACTTGAGTAATATAGTGTAGTTGTAAAGTAGTATTACTATTAATATGACAAACTTATTTAGATTAAGTTTTTGTTTTACGGCAGCTAATCAATTATTAAATAGATTAAATTATAATAATAACTAATAAGGCTCCCAATATCTTGAATTTAATATTTTAATTTCTAAATGGTAACCCTCAGTATTTTGCATATGACAATACCATGTTGGAATTACATCGAAATACAATAAATAAGTTTGTCAATATTTAATCGATATTCAATGTAATATAATATGTAATTGACAATTTCAAATTTATGAGTGTGCGAAGAAAAGCTATATTTTTATAATGAGGTCAAAAGCTAAACCGCATTATTGGGCGAGTATTAAGTATTGCCACACTGTACGATCATTTTTTCTACCAGTGTGGTAGTCGTATGACATTTCTTTAATATATCGCTATCGTAATAATAGAAAAGGGCATGTAATCGTACGTAGGATATTAATATTTAAAAAAAAGTATTTTGGGTACAAATTACTCGAAAGCAATGTAACATCAAACTATGGGATTAAAATTTACATAAAGCTAACTCTGCTGTATGTACTGGAAAATACTGTTTAGGTTTCATTTTGCTCATTTTTTTCTCTTTTATGAACTAGTCAAATTATCATTTCTTTTAATAAATAGTTTTCGTCTTTTGTTGCGTCTTTCTCTGTGATATGCATAAATAGAACAAAATGGTATAACCCTATAGGTTTTGTGATTAGCCACAGAAATGGACAAAAGCAGTTCTTAATGTGATTAAACATATTTTAAATTTAGTTTCTGAAAACACACTAAATGACATTTTTAAAGCCGTTTTCTAATTAAATCATTATAAACTTCTATGTATTGAAAATATATTGATAACTTTTTAATTCGTAGCGAATTAAAATTGAACTATCATGTTTTATCGCTCAGTGCAGAATGCAATTTTAGTTGTAATTATCGTTTTCTTAATATAAAAGGCATAGTGATATAGTAATAAATTCTCAATAGATAGTTTTTACGCTTTTTTTAGTTTAGTACATAAATATTTATGGTGAATCTTATATTGTTTATAATAATTGAAGCTAATTTTTAAACAGCTACAAACAAAATATTTATGTAAATATATCTGTTTGTATTTTAAAAGATGTAAAGGTTATCTATCATTTTTAATTCAAGCCTATTAACCACTTATTCTTATTTACACTAAATAAAAAATATTTTAAGAGTCAGTATGTCCAATGTTACTTTCTTCAATGATATTGTATGTTTATAATACTTAAAAACACATTTAAAATCACATAGGGCTTATAAATCAAATATGTATACTGAAATTTAAAAAACGCATAATATCTGAATCCTAATTATTTTGTTAGAATTAAATAAATTAAAGTATTCAACAAAGTGTCCGCTCAATACATATATGATATTAAATTGATAACATTTCTTATATTTTCTTTAAATAACTATGGGTGTTTGATTATAACACACATTATGTTATAAATAGTTTTTTTAATAAATGTCCAATTGTCGAAAATGGCTTCATTACCCAAAGTTATGCACAACATTGACGTAAGATGTATTTCTACCAATTTGATTTCATGTAATGAAATAGCACTCGACTCCGTAATGAATTTGTGTTACTGAGTGACTGCAGTGTAACTTAGTCCTACTACATAGCATGCAATTCTTTATTCATAAGCTTATTGGCGATTATTGTACAGATTTTCAAATAAAATAGCACCGAAATTGTTCTCTGAATGTGGTTTTTATTTATGACCATTCCGCTGAAACTAAGATGACCTCTTGTCTTAATACACGCAAGGAAAGTATAGTTTTGCCTATTTCATAATGTAGAATTGATTTTTATTTTATTGCCGGTGTGGTTACATTTTTCTTTTAATAAATTACCAAAAACTATTGTGTTACCTAAGTTTTCTGAATATTGCAACTCATTAAAACTTCATAATGATTCCTTATGTCAAGATGACATTAATTGACGTCTAATGTCAAATCTCATCTTCAGTCAAACTAGTGATTTGGCTAGTCGTGTAAGAAATGTTTATTAAATTATTTAAATGAAACCACGGCTCCTAATATTTCATAAAAACGGTTATTAAAATCATATGATAAGTTCCGTGCAAGTGAATAAGTGTCAAAGTGAATTTGTTGTAACTAAATGCAGTTCTCAACTTGTGTTTAATAATAGTTTTTTTTTCAATTAAATTTCACATTTGCTTTGTAATATGATCGATTGAATCTGAAGTAGCAAAAATCATTATGGGGCAAAGTCCGAGCTCTGTGCGGAGTAAGTCTAGTAGGCGATCTTTTCGCGGCTTTGTAAGGCGGACGAAATTAAATAAATCCAGTTTGAGCCATACGTTCAACTTGCCGCCGTCTGAGGAGTATCCGGAGCTGATGAATGTGAACACAGCGACGGAGGAACAGCTGATGACTCTGCCTGGCGTCACCAGACAACTAGCGCGGGAGATAGTCCGCCATCGGCAGATGATTGGAAGATTTAAACGCGTTGATGACCTTGCGTTAGTCTCAGGTAATTTATTTAAATTTATATTTAAAATACCAGTTACATTAAGCACTTTTTTACATTATTATTACTTTATGAGCTTCATTTGTAAAACCAATTAAAGCTATAATAAAACTTTTAGGTATTGGAGCAGAGAAACTGGAACTGCTAAGGCCAGACATATGTACAAATACAAGAAGGCAGATATCTCGAGCTAGCTCATGCACTCATTCCTTAGACAGTGTAAGATTTACAGGTGAAAATAAATTATGCTCTATAAACTCTTCAAGTGTTTTTCAACTTCAATGTGTACCCGGTCTTAACCAGGAAATAGCTGCAAATATCGTGGATTACCGAAATAAAAAGGGTCCTTTTAAATCCCTTGATGATTTGATAAAAGTAAGAGGGATGGATATAGTAAGACTGAGTACTGTGAAACATCACTTGAGTTTAGAGCCAAGGAAATGTGAGAGTGTTCAATTATTAGCCAATGGGCACACATTTGGTTGGAATGATGATTCATTTAATGAACCAAGTTTGAATGACGTACCGGAAGTGAGGACACCACATAGAAAAAGTTTGTCTATGCCAACCAAATTGCCAATAACATTGCCAAATGGATTCGCAACAGCTCCAGTAAATGATATCTTAGATTTACTGGCTGCATATTCTCACCGGCCAGTTGTTGAGGAATTGTTTACATATGAAAGAGATGGTATAAAATGTTGCCGCTTAGCTTCATGGAATCTACACCAGCTTAGTATAGAAAAAATAACAAATCCTGGTGTTAGAGAGGTGATATGCAGGACTATTTTGGAAAACAAGTAAGTTTAATTAATTTTAAATGGACTTCATTTTTGTTATAATAAATTTTATTAAGATTTTTTTTTATAAAACAGCAAGACTATTGTGACGGGTTAATTTATACTAAAAGTTTTTTTTTTAGTTACTTGAATAAATAAATTATATGAATACTTCTAAATGTACTTCTTACAATGTTTTAAATATAATCTGTTATCTGAAATGAAGTATTGAATACTTTAAGATAACATTTGGAATATTCAGATAAGATAGCAAAGATAAATACAAAAGTATATAATGATGTAACAGGTAATAAATATGTTCAAATTGTACATAATTTATGTACAATGTTAATCAAATAGAACATAACTGATTTCTAATCACACACAATTAATTTTCTAAACAAAATATTTAATCAGTACATTGACATAGAGCGTCGGTGGTTTGAACACTTGACTTGTAATCTACAGGTCTTGGGTTCGAATCCCACTGTACCAATGTGATTTTCGATTTTTCGAATTTTCATATGTACATAATTTACCCGACGATCTTACGGTGAAGGAAAACGATGCGAAGTGATGCCTGCACATATCGGCGAAGAAATTCAAAGATATGTGTGAAGTCAACCAACCCGCACTTGGCCAGCGTGGTGGACTATGGCCTAGTCACCTCATATTAGAGTAGGCTCCGAGCCCCTCGGTGGGGACGTATAGTGAGCTGGTGACACGACATTGACATATAAGGTTATAGGGAATATCATCTTCATTTTAATAATACCTGCTTTTTCCCGCGGCTTGGTCCACGCATTTAAAAATCGTAATAAGTCTGTCTTTTACACTATGTTCTATATCTGTGATGAATTACAGCAAACTGTAAATCATTTTAGAGATACATAGTAAGAAACAACTATCCATCCAAACTTTCATATTTACATTTAGTAAGTAAGAGTAAAGTATGTTAACTTTTTTTTTTTTATTTAACCGTACGTTTTGATGGATTTTTTTGAGTGTTGCTTCTCTCTCTACATGTAGTACCAGAAATCTGTCATTCAGTTTATTAAAAACTAGCTATTGCTCGCGATTTCGCACGCGTGAAATTAAAAAATAATAAAAAAAATTGCCTATGTTACTCAGAGATAAATTACTTTTCTAATGGTGAAAGAATTTTTTAAATCGGCCCAGTAGTTTTTACGTGAATCGAATACATACAAAAATATAAATCTTTCCTCTTTATAATATTAGTATAGATTATTATGTTTTATTTTCTTTCTTATTTAACCAGGTTATCAATAATAGCCATACAAGATGTGTTGGAGCCGGCCGCGCTAAAGGTGATCTGTGAGGAACTGAACAGCCCGGCATTAAGGCGGGTACGCGAGTGGCGCTGCAACAGTCATAAGTGGGATTACTGTGCTAACGACAGAACTGACGGGTAAGACATTCGAAACTAAATGCCTTAGTAACATCTAGACAGACCAGAAATATAAATTTTTTCGGCATATTAAACTTTTTGTATAAGTTGACAGAAGAGTCGCAATGTCTAGCGTTTTTATAAGCTATGATCGTATATTTTTGTACAATGTGCGTCGGTTACCATTGTTATTTAGATTTTAATTTTTATTTGTATTTTTAAGTCTTAGATAAGTATAGTAAACAAAGATAGATAGTTATTAATTTATCCCTTTTTTGTTCTTAACTCATCATCATCATCTCTCCTGCCCTTTCCTACTCCCGTAGTTTTCGTCCTCCAAATAACTCTATCATCCGTCATCTCAGTCATCACTCCCTTATTGATCATGTCACCATTTACGTAATCCATCCATCTCTTTCCAGGTCTACCTCTACCGGTGTACCACTACACAATTATGAATGTAAAAAACTAACTAACGAAAAAAAAACAAAAAAAATTAATTATGCGAATTTTATACAGCAAAGACAATAGCAAATTCAAAATCATAAACCAGAACTAAGTCGATACGGGTCTGGGCATAACATTGGCACAATTTCCTTTTGTTAGCTGACATCTGACATGCATACCATTTCAAGTGAGACTTGTATTACACTCTAAGAGCGGGCGCACACCTTTGATTAAACTATCGCCCAACTGTTATGCAATTGTTCATTGTTTCGCAGCCAATTCAACTGTTTAGTTGCACAACTAAAAATTGAGTAGTGTGCACACCTCCATAAGCTCATAGGATTCAAAGTGCGACTATACAGTTGTGCGATTTAGTCTAAGGCGCGCTCTAAATATTTTTTTACAATAAGATTCTATGGTTTTAAGATCAACAGTTTTCCTTCTTCTAATAAATAATTTACGTGAAACGGCGCTGTGTACCATTGCGTGACTGTAGTCATAAATATCGTGTTTTGTTTTTACGTGGTTGTGCTTATAATTATTTTAATTAGTCTTACCAAGGTCTCGTATGTCACCGATATTGTGGATTGTCTGTTTATCGACACTAATATCGGAATTATCAGTAGGTAAATCTAAAATTATATTACAATCCTGACTACCCCGTTTGTACAATTCTCAGCTGTAATTCATTTAATTCGTAATATGCGAAGACGTGCCTCGTCAATTGCGGCTTGTCTCGGCTCCAATTGACCTTCAACATGCAGACCCCAGTCTGGGAGAGGTCACACTGAATACCGCCAGTCTTATGCAGTTTACAAAACTCGCTTTGAGATTCATCTCTAATTAGAATAACAGATGTTAGCTGTTAGCTACTGTTATTTCAATCTGTGCAGACAGGGAGAGTAATACAATCAACGTAATAAATGAGAAACAATGTAAAAAAAATCTGAATGACACGATTGACGATTACCGCAATGTTCTCTCATTCTTATAAGAACCAGAGATAGCAATATGTATTTCCACATGTATTTCGGAAATGGAAACTCATTTACAAACAGAATTATGTTGGGATTCTCGTATCTGCGTGATAGCAGACAGGCACGTTGTAACAGGTGTTTAGTTCGCTAGTTGAGGATATGGTTACGTTTGGATGTTTTTAATAATAAACAAGCGCAGGATAAAAAGATAGGATAATAGCTTGATTGACAATTGATAGAAAGATTAACGTGGGAGTGGGGAAGGATAACAAAGAATGGTGTAGGCTGTAACAGTTATAGTGCGTCTAGGGCCCTGGGCGAGAAATCGGCGTCCGTCGAGTTGATCTGACAAAAACCTTTATGATATTTTCGTATATAGCTTTCGTAAGTATCTACGGTATAAAAAAATGTTTGAATCTCTATACTAAGAGTAAAGATACTCTATAAAGAGTACTCTACAAAGAGTAAAGATTTGTATTTTTGGATTTTTGTATGAATTGGAATAACTCAAAAACTACTGGGCCAATTTAAAAAAATCTTTCACCATTAAAAAGCTACGTTATCGGTGAGTAATATAGGTTTTTTATATAGGTAATATAGGTATTTTTAATACCATATGGACGAAGTCGCCAGCAGCAGCTAGTAAAATATAAATTAGAACTTCACGTGATACGAGTAATCAACCTCGCCCATGGACTGTGAACGCCCTTGAATATTGACACAATAAAAAGATAATAATAATCACCATAAACGTTATTTAACATACTTTTTTATTTAAATATAATCAGCCGTTTTATTAGCATAAAATGTGGTACAAGAAACATTCAGTTGTTAAAGAAATTAATATGTAAATGATTATTATGTGTAATATGCTTATCAAGCTGAGTTTAATGACTATTTAATAAGTCCCTTAGTGTAGATTGTTTATACTAAATTTACCCTTAATAACAATAATTTTGGCAATTAGGTATTCATATTTTTTACCAATGAAGTGTTTTTGTGCCAACCCTATTTGTTGAGTTGCTAGAGATAGATTTAGATTCTATCGTATTCAAAATGATTTGAAACGGATGCAAAAGCGACCGTAACAATATAATAGTGTTGATTACAACATTATTACATGCAGTTTTATTGTGATTTGATTGCGTTTGTCATAGTGTATTTTGTCGCTCGCTATTCATGAAAATACGTATATAGGAACTAAAATGTTTATCGCTTATGTAATTCAATACATTTTTATATACTCTAGGATATAGCACTTACGGTAACTGATTCTAACGGCTTAATACTGAAACGAATTCCAAAAACCTGGTTTATGGATCGCTTAAAAACTCAGCACCCAGTTGTTAAAATTACAATCTCACTTGGGGTTTATCCATGGCTTTAATAAAGAGGCTTACATATTTAAATGTCGTTTCAATATTTGGCTGTAAAAGTACTAAAATGAGTGTTAACTCTAAGAATCTCTATGTAATCACAACAATGATTATTCTCGGAGTTTTTATATTTACTGGTTAGCATTAGAGCATGGTTGTAGGGAACTAGGTCGATTATTTATACTTCAGTTTCTCGACACGGATAAAATCTTTATTTAACCCACCTTGTTTACTTTGAACTGTTAATTATATTATAACTTGTTAGGTAATGTATGCATTTTTTATAAATTTACATCTTTTTTTTACAAATATAAGAAAACAAATTGTAACAATTTATGGTTAACCATATCAATTAGTAATTATCTTGAGTTTTATTCCGCAATGATATCTCTTTTTCGAACTAGCTGTTGCTCGCGACTTCGCCTGCTTGAAATAAAAAAAAACTATGTTAATTAAGCGTATGTTATTCGCAGATAAATTACCTTTCTAACAGTGAAAGAATTTTTAAAATCGGTTTTTACGTAAAACAAATACATACAAAAATCCAAAAATGCAAATCTTCTTTATAATATTAGTATAGACTAGCTGTTGCTCGCGAGTTCGCCCGCGTGAAATTAAAAAAATTAGCCTATGTTACTCACAGATTAAATTACCTTTCTAACGGTGAAAGAATTTTTAAAATCGACCCAGTAGTTTTCGAGTTATTTCAATACGTATAAAAATACAAATCTTTCCTCTTTATATTATTAGTATATATAATAGATTTCTACTTGTGATCTATAAAAGATTAGGTAGCGATTAGCAACATTGTATGTTCATGTATAATAACATATTTGTAGCTTTGATAAAAAAAGTCGTATACGATTGAGGTCGTGATAAATCAGTCATCATATCAAGACTAGTTGCTATGAAACTAGCGATTTTAAATGATGATTCATTGTGATACGTCCTGTATAAGGATTTGATAACATACGGAGATAATAAGAACACAAGTGGCAGTGCCCGCTTTAACATCTTAGCACGAATGGGCCAGCACGCCCGGTGTAATACCACGACCACACAGAAGACAGGCGTGAAGTGGAAGTAATTCCGTGTTTCGTCTGATGAGTGTGGTGCCGGAGGCCTAATTTAAGTCCCTTACTCCTTACCACCCTTTTCTCATAAGGAGAGGATGGGAAGAGGAAGTGGATTTGACAGTGGAGGAGATGCATAGGAAGGTGAAATATCCTCTTTATGTGCGTCTCCTCCTCCGTCGGATAAGGGTAGGCAACGCATCTGCAATTGCGGATGTCTCGTTTGCCACCTTATGTTATATAAAAAAAAAATTAAAACATTAGTATGAAAAGTATGATTAGTATGATTAAGAATTCAACTGTTATTTGCACAATTAAAAATCGAGTTTGCACAGCTCTAAAAGCTATATGTGCTATATTATATGTATCAAAGTGTGACTATACAATTGTGCGACAGTTTAGCAAAATAATTTTTATGTCAGTTTTGGAACTTAAAACACGCTGTATATTAAATTCATGAAATAGGGTTGTCAACTCTTCGGGTTACATCTTTGGTGTTGGATTATGAAAATGGCTGATGTTTGTTTCTTTACTGCCAGTGTTCTACTTTAATTGATAATTAACAGCTGTTTTATGTACATGTGTTATTGCAGGCCATCCCTAGGCTTCATCTACGAGGCGTCACATAAAAGCGTGACTGTGGAAGATGTGAGCGTAGACCAGTTGCACCTACTATCAGAGGCAACGGACGCAAGGCGGCTAAGCGAAGCTCTAACAGCCCTACGGACTGAGGATTGTCTTGCTTCTCCACAAGGTTAGTGTTGTGAATCGAAATTAAAGATATTACCAACTAGCTGTTGCTCGCGACTTCATCCCCGTGATATTAAATAAATAATAAAAAATATAGTCTATGTTACACACAAGTAAATTACCTTCCTAATGGTAAAATAATTTTTGAAATCGGCACATTATTTTTGCGTTAGTCAAATACATACAAAAATCCAAAAATGTAAAACTTTCCTCTTTATAATATTAGTATAGATGGAATTGAAATGGTTTTACGAAAGTATTTTAACTTTATTGTACGATATACTTAGCAACGTTCTTGTTTTAATGATTTAGTACGAAATGTATGAAGTCACTGTCCTTGTGCGTTACGGTTTTCTTTATGTGCAGAAGTTTATTTTTTCTACGTCTGGCTATAAATACTCTTTGAATGAACGCGGTGCAGAGCTATCTTTGTAAGTGGGCTCGGAGATGTTAATTATTCCTTACTAGCTTTTGCCAGCGTCTCGGATCGCATGAAATTAAAAAAAACAATTAGGCTTTAACAGTTGTAGTGCCCGCTTTAACATCTTAGCACGAATGGGCCGGCATGCCCGGTGTAATACCACGACCACACAGAAGACACACGTGAAATGGAAGCAATTCCGTGTTTCGTCTGATGAGTGTGGTGCCGGAGGCCTAATTTAAGTCCCTTTCTTTTTACCACCCTTTTCTTATAATGAGAGGTTGGGAAGAGGAAGTGGATTTGACGGTGGAGGAGATGCATAGGAAGGGGAAATATCCTCTTTATGTGCGTCTCCTCCTCCGTCGTATAAGGGTAGGCAACGCATCTGCAGTTGCGGATGTCTATGGGCAGCGGTCGCTTCGCCATTTTGGCGGTTTCAGGTTTTCGCTTGCTCGTTTGCCACCTAATGTTATTAAAAAAAAAAGATAGGTAGCCTATGTGTTCTTCCAGACTATTCTCTACATCTATGCCACATTTCATCGAGATCCGTCCAGCAGTTTAGGCTACAAACTTTAACAAACATCAATCCACCTAAACTTCGCATTTATAATATTAGTAAGATTTATAACCAAGGCTAGTTTACCTATTGTATCGACCGTTTAGTCAAAGAATTTGTTTGATAACTGCAGCTGTAATTGTTATGTTTTTAATATATCAATTGGCTTGTTTAATATTCAAACAAAACAGATGCTATTGTTTTTTTCAATGTCATAGATATCTGAAATGGGAAATGCTGTCTGGTCTTTGCTTGTTTTATTTAATTACTAACTTTCGCCCGCGGTTCCATCCGCGTGGAATAAAAACAAAAATTAGTAGCGTATCTGATCTAGACTATACTCTACATCTGCGCCAAATTTCATCGTGTACAGTCCCACCGTTGAGGCTACAAACTCTAACAAACATCCATCCAACTAAACTTTCTCATTTGTAATATTAGTAAGATATATTGAATATTGAGTTATTTTAATTTTCTATATCAACGTATGAAACCTTATAGCTTGAGAATGTTGCGTTGTGTGCGACGTGTTTAGATACATACTAGCGGTCATGTAAGCCTTCGTATGTTTATATCGCGCTAAACATTTCGCCGGTCTGAGAAAACTGCGCAAACAATGATACGCCACGTGAGGAAACTGCAATTAATAGGGCTGACAGTAAAGCTTTTTGAAAAAATACCATTACCACCATCATCATTGACCACCTTTGTGTTCCTGCCGCTCGTTTGCCCCCTTCTCATATAAAAAAAAAATAAAAAAAACATACAGACGACTTGAGTACCTCCTTCTTTTGGGAAGTTGGTCAAAGAATAAGTGAAATGTTTTAATATGTGACCATTCAGTCTAATTTCGCAAACCTCGTGACAATAGAAATGTTTAGAAAAAAATATTTATTTATTACAATATAAATTAAAATGGGTCTTAGAATAATAAAATTTAGTTCAATCTAAACCAAGTTTGCCTTTAAATAAAAATTATACGCAAATTGTTATCAATAACTAGCTTTTGCCTGGGTCTCCGTCCGTGTGGAATAAAAAACAAAAGTGAGTAGCCTATGTGTTCTGCCACACTATCCTCCACATCTATATCAAATTTCATCGAAATCCGTTCAGCCGTTTAAGCTACAAACTCCAAACAAACATCCATCCAAACTTTCGCATTTATAACATTAGAATAACTAATAATGATATTTAAGTTGTGGCAACCCTTTAGTGCGTTGGCGTTTCGTTTGCTTGTATTGCGTGCGCTATCGTAAGGTAACTCGCAGATCGATTCACGGATACGTTTTATATCTGGAAATAGAAAAAAGTACATATATTCACATCGATATTTCACCGCTTCGATTATTCTACACCTCCATTACGTTCAGAAGTAAAAAGCCAATATTTCAACGAAATTGTTTAAAAAAAGATTTTCAGTTAGCAATAAAATGTATTTTGGCTCAAACATACAGACGAATTGAGTACCTCCTCCTTTTGGGAAGGCGGTCAAAAAACTAACGTCAAACGAACTAGCATGTCGAAAAAAACGTAAATAAATTTTCATCGAATAAATTCAGTCCTAACCACTTTAATCTTGTTTAAATTTGCGTGCAGTTCGAATGGTTTTGTTAAATTTGCAATTTGCTGTTACTAAAATAGCTTCGCTTTGTATTGATAAAACATAGAGACTTCATTCGTGGAAATTCATTATTACGCAAGTTAACGTTGCTATGTTAATAACGAATTATATTAAATACATAGGAAAACGTAGTTTTTAAATAACTGTTATACATAATTCACTGCGATGTACCAGGAGTACAGAAGGTTGGCAGTAGTTTTCTTAGTAGTTCGGAGATACAACTGGCTTTAAAAGTGGATACGTTAATAGATGCGGCATTTTTTTATTTCAGTTACATTTAATAGCTGATTTGATTTTAAAATAGTTTACGTGTGATTGTTATGCACCGAATGCACGAAACTCTTTCAAACAATAGCTCCTCGCGCACCTCGTAGTTTGCATAATTGATTCAATTTGACTCCATTGAGCAATGATCGCCAAGTGTCACTTTGATTAAATGTCACTAACCTTGTGCCGAAATGGAGCTACCAAAGTGTTCTTTTAATATCCCTTTTCTCTTCTTTAAAATATCCAAAACTTTATATTTTCTTAGTTTGGATGTTTCTTAGAATACTTGTCCAGAACGGCTCGATGAATCTTGCTTGATACATGTGGAACCTAGTCTGGGAAAACATTGTCTACTGAGTTTTTTTTTTAATCCCGCGCGGACCAAAGCTGTAAAATAATGATCGCTTGTCTTTTGTCTGTCAATGAAATCGTTGTCAAATACAAAGACAAGTGGACATCGCTATCATGACTGGCCAACAATGCTTTGTAATTTTTTTAATCATTTTTACTTTACTTCATTTGCATATTCTTACTGCCAGTGTCATTTGTATTCATTTAAGGAAAACTGTTGTAATTATTTTTAAATACGGATGACATTAGTGATGTGGTTTTGTTAAAAATTGACCTTCTGGAAACGGTATTAGATATTTTGGCTGAGAGATTTCGCGGGAATATACCAACCAATGTTTATATGCATATTTGGCGTTGAGTGTTTACTTGGCAAAATTATGTTATGTAACCTTTCATAAAATACCAGCTTATGCTCGCGACTTTGTCTGCGGGGAATTATTAAATGTAAAAAAAAAAGCATATGTTATATAAAAATATAGCTTACTGATAACAGATCTTTATAATGGTGAAATATTTTTTTAAATCGGCCCAATAGTATTTGAGTTATTTCAATAAATACAAAAATACAAATCTTTCCTCTTTATAATATTAGTATAGATATCTTTCTACATTGTAACTACATGGTCTAATACATAAACGATAATAGATTACACATTGATTATTTCCCTTATTATCGAACATAATCTCTGATATCTAGTAGCTGCTAGTTAATTGTTCTCGTATCACTAACTAGAGGTAAGAAGTACGTTCACCTGATGATAATTGTGTGCACCAAATTAACAAATGAACGCAGACTTTTGACATTTGATTAATAAAATCTTGTAATTATTGTTCTACTAGCTTACGTCCGCACGGAATTAAAAAAGAAACAAGTGCAAGTAGCTTATGTGTTCTTCCAGGCTATCCTTTACACCTATACCAAATTCCATCGAAATCCGTTGAGCCGTTTAGGCTACAAACTCTAACAAACATCCATCCATATAAACTTTCGCATTTATAATATTAGTATGAAGTATGATTATTGTTCTATTTTCTTCTTGTAGAGAGAAACATTCTTCTGTTGGTTAGTCGTCTGCAAATTTGTCTATGGGTAGCGGAATGGCCGCTTGCTTGTTACACGTCATACTATGGAAGTAAAGACTGTATGTCTATACTTCTGCCAGTGTATTTTTCGAAGGACGGCGATCTGGGCTATCCAGATGTTGTTACCGAAATATAGATATGTCTAGAGATAGAGACACTAGAGATAATGTATCTATTGAAGGCATGGCAACATAATTTCTTGATTATTAACTGGACTCCAGTTTCTGCAAAACTTATAAAATTTGTACGCATTTTGCACGGAAATTTCCTTGATAACAAATAAAAATTATGTTCATTTTGTAAGGTCCCCTTTAATTTTTTTTTAAATTTTTTCACAGCCTTCACATTAAAATATGAAACCTTGTGAAGGCAAATTGTGGAACTAACCATACCGTTATAACGAGTTGCACTTGTTTATTGAATGTTTAAAAAAAAAACGAAAAGACCGGTTCCGTGCGCGTTCAAGGCAAAGGACGCGATACGTTCCATTTACACTTCACGATTTTTGTCGTTACTTCACTTTAAAAAAAAACATCTGAACCAGTTAGTTACTTTGTTGAAGAGTAATATTGGGTATGTTAATAATATATTCTTAAATAAGTTAATGTTGAATTATTTTACAATCATATCATACTAATATTATAAATGCGAAAGTTTAGATGGATGTTTTTTAGAGTTTGTAGCCTAAACGGCTGAACGGATTTCGATGAAATTTGGTACAGATGTAGAGGATAGTCTGGAGAAACACATAGGCTACCTACTTTTTTAAATTCTACGCGGACGGAGTCGCGGGCGAAAGCTCGTTGAAATATAGATATATAAAAGTTAAATATATAGCAAAATTAAAATTGTATTAGTTTGTTAACAAGTTTTATAGTTACTGTACTAAATCTTACTTCTTATTGATATTTTAAAGGTGAAAGTTTAGATGGATGTTTGTAAGAGTTTGTAGCTTAAACTATCTAGATGATTGGCATAGAAATAGAGGTTAGTCTAGAAGAACACAGGCTTTGTACTTTTTTAATTCCACGCGGACGGAATCGCAGCCGAAAGCTAGTAACGATATAAATCGTACAGTGTAAATGGTTTATTTAAGTTGGATATGATAATGTGACAGGCGCGCCAAGTGTTATTGACTTCACCATGACCCTGATCTGAGCGCATACGTTAACCTTATTTCATTTAATTTTGCGTTTGATACTATAAATAATCTTACTAATATTATAAATGCGAATGTTTGGATAGATGTTTGTTAGTTTGTAGCCTAAACTGCTGAACAGAACTCCATTAAATTTGACATAGATGTAGAGGATAGTCTGAAAGAACACATATGATACTTACTTTTTTTTTAATTCCACGCGGTAATTGTAGGGACTGGATAGAAAAATAATATTATTTATATTACTTCCTAAAACAAGTATTTAAATCCAAATTTTTTAAAAAAATTTTAAAGGTGTAAGTTGGTATTTTAGAACGACAAATATTGCGGTATTTAACAAATATGTCCTTTCAATTAGCAATGTAAATTATCAAGGAAAAGTCTTTATGTAGTGTAAGGAAGCGACGGAATATCCGGTTCCGCTTTTATGACCTCTATTAGTCAACTAGTGTTGTATATGAGTACAATATATTATAGTGTTGCGATTTAGACACACACAGACATCCAAATGTTACAATTCTTATCGGAATTCTAAACCGAGAAATTTATTAAATAATAGCTTATTAAAGCTGGATATAGAATTTCTGTTACCATGGCAATCTCGCTTCTTTACTACTTTTAACTTAAAGTTTCTGTCCCTTTCACGCATGGCAGTTTTTTTAAATGTGTTTAATAGCGTGAATTTTCACGCATATATATTTATATAGACTATAGCGTGTCGTAAGTGTAAGGGTTTTTATTAAAAGTTAAATGATTCAAATATGTGCTGTAATTGCTGACATCTTGCATAACAAAGTGTGTTTAACGTTTAACAAACGTTTAACAAACGTTTTATTATAGGTAGTATAAAAGTAGCGTATAGACTAAAATGAAAGTGACGTCTCTAGACACATGTAGCGGATACCCGACAATGTCGCGTATGAATATGAATGTATCGCGGCAAAGGCCCTAAACAGGATCGGTTAGTGCTCACAATGCTAATTTGCTTCCTGTTATTATGTTAATCAACTGCATAGCAACATGTCTCCGCAGTGTAAACCTCAATTCGTTTCCTATTAAATATTTGGTAAGCTATTACAGGATTTACGCTAAAGGCCTGTCCCACCACTGGCTGTAGAGGCTCAGGCATAAAAATGTCGTCACTCTCAGATAAGGGAACAAAAGCCGATATTTCCATCACATGTTTTAAACGTTGGTTTGTTATCAGACAATTTACAATTTAGTGGGACAGGTCCTAAATCTATTTTTATCTAAACTAATGTTATATTGAGGAAAGATTTGTATTTTTGGATATCTGTATGTATTGAAATAACTCAAAGATTATTGGGCTGATTTCAAAAAATCTTTCATCCTATAAAAGCTACATTATCACTGATTAACATAGGCTGGTTTTTACTATATTTTTTGTACCTCCACACAGATAAAGTCGCGAGCAACAGCAAGTATATAGTTAAGTCTAGAGGACAGAAAAATCTGAGTAATATAGTTGGTGTCAAAAATGATTTCCCCAACTAATTACGTTTTCGATTCCGTGAGTTGTAATTATCACATTTGAATCACTAATAATTTTAGATATTATATTAGAAATGCAAAACTACAATATCATTCTGTCTTATTGGAAACATTTTCCCCTCGTTGCAAATGCAAGCGACTTATTTTAGTTGACGCGACACCAACACATAAATAAACTAAATCCGATTAGTTCATATCAAACGTGCAGTAAATCCGCTGCCCGTTGCAAACACAACTCGTATATGAGTGTTGACATTAAAAGGTATAGATATTCCATAATAAAATAAATAAATATAAGGTCATTTGAATTTTGAACTAAGTGAATTTAAATGTAATATATAAAAGTATATTTGTATGTAGAAACTTTACACATGATTTACTTTTTACTAATATAAATGCGCATGTTTAGATGGATCGATGTTTTTTAGAGTTTGTAGTATAAACTGCTGAGTAAGCCTCGATAAAATTTGGCATAGGCGTATAGTATGAAATGTTTCAAACAAATTTAGAAGATATTACGACATAGGTGTTAGGCATGATCCTATTAGCACGTGATATTTGATTATTCTGTTTGATTTAAAGTACATAATTGGCGCCATTAACTTTTATAATGAATTGACAAGTCTAAACGTTTCGTATATCTGCGTTTTAAAGCGAGTGTGATTCGTCGCCCGGATATCCGACGTTTGCCAATTTACATCGCGACATTTGCCTACATCGTGATATATTTTTATTCGCGTGTAATATTTTAAAACAAAATTATCTACGTATTTTGGTATATTCACTTTATAAATGAAGATTAAGTTAAATTTTATGCAAAGACCTTAGAGACTATTAGAAACTCGATATATTCTTTGACGATTGAATTGACCGTCATTTTCACCTTTTATGGTACATGGGTCGTTTGCACCCATAAATAAAAGAGGTATTTTAACCTCAGTAGTGTTATGTATCAACCTCTCTATTAACATGATGCAATATTTCAAATATTTATAAATTTGTCACATTTATTTATAGTTTTTGTTTACACTTGTTATTTCCTTAACACAAAATACATGTTTCGATAAAAATAAAAAAAAATACTCTAGCGTCTGTTATAACAGAACAGTGTCTAGGAAACTAGCAATAATTTCACACAAAACATTTTGAAAGGAATACTAACAATACAAATACCTCAAATTTCCGTGGCGACGTCGATATTTATGGGAAACGGAAAAGTTGAGTCGTCGATAAAAGGCTGAAAGCGATAGCGGTTACGCGCTGTTAAGATTGTTCGATTGTATTGTGAAAATATTAACAAATTCTTCAAGCAATATTGTAACTTGTTCTGTAGGTTTTATGGTTGCTTTTTGATTGAATGAAATGTTAAAGGTATCGAATTTGTATTGCTGATTTGACTACAACATAATTTAGAATTTCAGTATTTCAGTCTATCGCTTCATATATTGCATGTTTCAAGACCTCTCTTTCTACATGTTTTTATAAGAAGCATTTTATTATTGTAATATTTCTTTCCATTTTATCTTAACCTTAAAGTTTGCATGTCTTTATAAATGGCGTCTATATTATTCTTATTGGTCGTTGAGAATTCCCCGCTCGTAGCTTTGAAACCTTACTATCGAAGTAGGTCAATGAGATATTTAACTAGCCATTAACTCATTACTAGAAGTCATGAAACATTTTATCTTTTACTCTGGTTTTATGGGGAATTTTTGAACTTAAAAAAATATAGACTGACATGTCATCTGCCCCTTTAGACATAAGTGAATATGATAGCTCAGTCCTTCTATGCCTTTTTCGATGTCTATGATTTGCAATTTTTTTTGACATCATCATCCATTTGCCCTTATCCCTTACGGAGGGTCGCCACAGTATGTGCTGCTCTTCCATACATCTCTATTAGCCGTCATATCTGAATCCACTCCTTTATTAAGCATATCCTCTTCCACACAATCCATCCATACTTTCTTCGGTCTTCCTCTTCCTTTCCATATTCAAGCTTAACACTGCAATTTTTCTGACAGAATCAACCTATAGCAGCCTCTCTTACCATTCTAGACATCCTTGTTTGAATACTGCAATGTAAAACGTCAATACCGAAAGTATAACAAAGTATTATCAAATATTTATTGTCTGTCTGTGTTGTTAATCCTCAACTGTTTATACAATATCAATTATTCGTTGTCGTGGATGTAAAAATGTCAGAGACAAAAGCATTAAAACGTATTTATACTATAGACAATAATATTTAGTTGTAATATTTATTTTGACCTATGATATATGGTTCATAACAACTTGTAAATAAAATATTGTATATGTCGATGTCGATGATGAACCTATAAATGTGTCTTATCACAAAGCACGGCTTTCAATGAGTAATACAAAATCAATACATAAACCAATATAGATCCATATTACGCTTATATCGTAACTTGTTTATATTATGTAACAAATGATACTATGTAACAAGCTGTAGTCTGGCGATGGTCTAATCTTTTGAAAGTATGCAAAGAATTAAAGGTAATACAATCGGGGCCAGTTTGGCTCCTTGAGGTATGCCACAGTCTAATTTAGAATCTTGAGACCAATGTACCTTTGAACTTCATGTTATAATTAATCACATCGAAAATTATCAATCGGCCCATTTTAATGCATGTTAATGTACAAAATAAGATGTTTATTTATAGTTCTAATATGTCATAAGTTATCAAACGCCTTTAAGGAATCAATCAATTGTTTGTTCTGGAAAATTGGATAATCAATATTTTACACGATTAATAAAAGGGGAATATTTTTCGGATTAGATTTTGCCAAATGGGGTGGTTCAATTAATATTCTGAGTATTAGATGTACCGTCAGTCATTTTTAATTGTTTTGTTTACAGTGTTCCTAATATGCGGTCGTCCAGTGATCGTGGTGAATGTGCAGTGCCGGGGGCCCCTCGCGGGGGAGCAGTGCGCGCGGCTGGATGGGGTGGCGGCGCTTGCGCTTGACTGCAAGCTTCCATTATTCTTCGCAGGGGATTTCCATCGATGGGACAATGTGCATTGTAAGTAATCATTTGTTTAGACTTTCTTAGAAGAAGTGGTCATACGTTCTTTAATCGCGACTGGAATCAACGTACAGCTAATACTTACCAGTAAAATTAAAATAAAGGGTACTTTAATAATTTTTGTTTCTTAAATAGTTTTAAACTGTATAAACTAAGTATCTTTTGTCGTAAGCTATTTCGTTGCACGTTGTATCTTCAATAACGAGCTATTTGTTAGTGACGCAGAGCAACATCCTTTGTTATAACATCGCGTTCCTCATCTTACTCATTTTATGTGGTACAAGTTATAAGAGACTGATACTACACAAATAATTTGAATATAAAACATTGTCTTAGAATACTGTAGTTTTCTACAAACCTATAAATGAAATCCGTGCTGGTATTAAAATACTTTTAGATAAAATATATGTACTATAAAAGTGTGAACTAAGGCGATATTGTTCTGCATTATTTTGCCACGAATGTGTTCCTTGCGGTAAGTATTCCATTACTTTGTGATCTAAATTGGATCACATTTCCAATTCTAGGCTTAAAAATGAAGCCTAAAATTTTGTTTTACCACTCAATGTTAAATATTGGTTTAAGAAATATGATGAATTTGGTTTTTATTAATTAAGGTTAAGATTTTGCGTATCTTGTCACTTGTACCATCTTACTAATTGATAAAGCAATCAACAACAGGCTTTGTACGAATATTATAATGATCTGTGGACCAGTAATATTGTGACATAAGAAAATAAGAAATAAGGTCAGCACTTAATCAACAAGATAGCAAAGTAATCACATTGCTAGAATATTCTAGAAGCATTAAAGTTAATGAAATGCACTTTGCCTATCTCTTGCTTGGATTTAAAAATCTAATAGTTGTTTGTACTAGTAGAAACATTTACTAACTATGGTAAGTTTTATGCCATATTTATGTATCAAAATTGGCAGAAACTTTATCATGATTCAAATTCGAATTTTGGCAAATAAAAGTAACATGTCGCACTTGGTGCCAATTGTGACTAATAAAAGGTAAATAGTCTTGTTTTTGGCAACTGTTACAAATGAACAACTTATATAAATAAATAAAAAATAAGAAAACAATCAGTATACGAGTATTAGTACAATTTCAAACCTTTTAATTCGACATTCGTTAGTAGAAAGACTATTATTTTTTTGGCTCTAGTAATCGGAACATGAGCGTCGGTGGCTCAGTGGTTTAAGCACTTGACATGTAATCTACAGGTCTTGGGTTCGAATCCCGCTATACTAATGTGATTTACGATTCTATAATTTCGTATGTACATAATTTACCAAACGTCCTTACGGTGAAGCAAAACATCGTGATGCCGGCACATATCGGCGAAGAAATTCAAAGATATATGTGAAGTCAACCCGCAGTGGGCCAGCGTGGTTGACTATGGCCTAGTCACCCCAATTTAGGGTAGGCTCCGAGCCCTTCGGTGGGGACGTAGTGAGCTGGTGACGATGATGAATCCGTACATTGGGGACAACAATTACTTTTGGATTTGATGACAACTAAACACGTAATGCAATTTTAAATTCTTTCTTTCCAATATATAATAATAAATAATAATAATAAATTCATATATAAGTGGACATTCCTTAACTGCTTGATCGTTCCAATCCACTTAGACTTATTTACAAAACACTGTAATATATAAATAAAACAAATACGAAACTACAACAATGGCGTCATTTGTTATTCAATAAATGTTTGTTGCAATGATGTAATGTTCTTGACACTGCATTGGTTGCACGTTGCGGCGCCAGCGCTCCACTCACTGGCTTATCTGTTATCACTGCGATGTTTGTGCGAAGTGACGCGTCACGTGGCGACAGAGAGAGTCACTTGTTATCTTATAGCGATAAAATTAGACTATACTAGCTTTCACCCGCGACTCCGTCCGCGTTAAAAAAACTAAAGTATGCCTATGTTTCCAGATTATGCTCTGCGTTTATTCCTAATTTCATCTAGATCTGTTTAGCAGTTTAGGCTACAAACTCTAACAAACATCCTTCCATCTATATAAACTTTCGCATTTATAATATTAGTAAGATAAAGCTAGTTTTTGATTCTTTTATATTTAGTTATTTACTTAATAACGATGAACTGCAAAACGCTTTATTACAAAGCTCATAATTGTTGACAGCATTTTATTAAAATTTCATATGTTTACTTTCAGTGTTAAAGAACTGCGAGTCGGTGTTAGATGAATCAGTACCGACGAAGGTGGACGCGGCCAGCGATGGCCATTGCGCCATCCTGGCCGCAGGTGGTGTGGCCAGTAGCGGCTGCAATGGCCACGCGGCGGCCATCCGCTCCGGACTTAGCCACCTGGCCATCCCTCGCGGCTGGTCGTGGGGCGGCCCCGCCTCCCCCCACTGCCCGCTCTGGACCGAGCTAAATGTCCCAGACTGACACATTGCTAGAGAATATTTAAAAAGTTGTCCTTTCTGTATTCTGTTAATCCTTTTAACACTTTCCATTGCTGAGAGTTGTCGGCTTTTCCAACTTTGTGTGCTTAGTTTTAAGTATAACTTTTCCATGTAATTTATTTATTATAAATCAATTTTTTTGCATAGTGCAGTAGTCAACATTATATTTCCCGTTTACTTTCGCGGTTGATATATCAAGGTTGTCAACTTCTGTATTTTAGTGTAAAAACTGAAATGTTACCTATTTATTAAATAGAAAATTGTAATATATTTAAATTTATGTAATTATGTAAATAGATATTTTTAAAATATTATGGTCTCCAGGGCTTTATATTTTCTAATTCTTGGATAACTTCCTTTTATTGAAATAGCAATTTTGCGTCCTTTTTAAATGATAGGTGTAAAATATTTATTTTAGCGAATTTAAGGGGCTTAATTAAGGAAAAATATATTTATTGAAAGATAAAATATGAGGTAAATTTTCATTTGTCAAGATGAGGTTATCTGTCAAAATTATATGTCAAAAATCAAAGATTAGTTTCTGTCAAAGATTAAACTTGACTTTTATTTTAATTGTTTCTATCTGGAAAATATATCTGTGCAAATAAAATTGAATTTTCAATTCAACCTTCATGTGTAATGTATTTATTAAGACCAAATATCGGAGCTGTGTCAAGTTCTCATATTATTAGTAATTTATTTACATAAGTTTTCATACACTGTAAACAAATATTTTCTGAATAGTCCTTAACAAACGCCAAACATTTAATATTCACATTTTTAAATACAATATATAGCTTCCTTTAGATGACGATAAGATGGCTACTGAGTTTGTTTTTTTTTTTTATTATAAAAAAAACGAATACGATCTCATATAAACTAAGACGAAAGTATGCCAAGATATTGTTACGATGTGACTTTTTTAAAACCATTTGAGTATCCTCATAAATGTATAAATTTATATTTTTTTAATTTTTTCTTTTTTGAAAATGTTCTATTTAAAAATATGATATTTATTACATTTTAAAATTGTACGATATGTTTTTTTTTTCGTTTGAATTTTTAATAATGATTATATAAAAATCATTGATTTAGGATGGCGTACGATTTTATGCAAGTTTTACCTAAACATGTGATAAATATATGAATAATTTATTTTTTTAAAACATTTTCCTTCATTGTATTGTACTTCTGAACGCAACCGTGGATGTCCACTATCGAAATGTAAAAAACAGACTCGTTAGTGAAACTCCACGGTTACGGTCTTTGTTTTAAATATTGAAATCTTAATAAATTATAACAAATACAACTGTTTCCTTATTTACTTTTTAACCATTTCCAGGTATTTACAAATAAAATTATTTTATAGGTTAAGGTAACGTTTTTTAAACACAACTTTGGAATACGGTAAAAAAATTGAGAAAAAACATCCGATACAAATGATCTGAACAGTTCATTGGCTTCTTTTTTTCATAACTACTTGAGCTATTCGATTCGCATTGGCACGGACAAAAACTTACATAACTGTACGTTTTTATACGTGCTCTCGTAACTAAAATAACATAGACAAGCAAAAGTCATAAGAAACAAAAATCATGATACTGTAATTATTAAAAACATTCAATTTTCAATATGTAGACTTTTCTGTATTTATTCTATTCACAAAGTTATATAATCTGTTTTTCATGTCATTTAATTCACTTATATGCTCTTTGATTTAATTGCATTGACAGTTTTGTATTTGTATTTCAAGATAATTTGAAAAATAACAAAAATGTCTCTCAAAGACAAAGCTAATTCTTTAACATTCGATTATTTAACGACCTCGAGGACTGACTATCAAGTATATGATTTAAAGGCAACCCCGAAAACAGTACTCAAAGAGAATAAACAAACAAAACCAGTGAACGTTGAGAAGAAAAGGGAACCTAGAATAAAATATACTCAGACTTTAAAAGAATGGCAAAGCGTACCTTTCGATTTGTTAATTGGACCGAAGCCAATACTGCAGACAAACCCTCATCATATACAACCTCCATTCGTAAGTAAATTAAGAAAAATATACCAAAAAGACGCATTCTAAAAATTTAGTTCAGCACACTATACACAGTAGTGACTTAAGGAAGGGCGCGGTTGAACAACTTCCCTGACGCTGAGCAGAAAAGGGCGCCACAGTTTAACAAATTACACAGTTTTACATAAGCCCTCTTATCTCAAATTCTGGTAAAAAGGGGACTACGTCAAAATTTCGCCGAAGGCTAGTAACACTAGAACCGTTTCTGGGTTCTTACCGAGTTTTAATTTAAATTAAGTGTCTTTACTAAATACTCAGAAAAAGCCTCCTGATTCGAGGGAGGATGAGGTCAGAAGGACAAGACCTCGTCTCATCATATCACCTGCAGTGGTTGTGGACGACGTCGAAGACAAGATGTAAGTAATCAGCATTTAAAAAACATAACATTCCTTTTTTCTGTACTTAAACCAACAACCCAAAGTCGTACCGTTATATTAGCTGTGCCTATGTTAGTTGAGACCCCCTTTTAACTAACGCAAACTGCGACCCGCGCTATTTTAATACTACCATCAGTTAACACGTGACGTCATGTGACTTCTCTTACTAATATTAAAAAGTTTGGATGCATGTTAGAGAATCTCTAAGTCTAAAGAGCTGAACGGATCTGGATGTTGCATGGATGTAGATGATAGTCAGAAGAATATACAAGCTACTTACTTTTGTTTTTTTTTTTGTTTGACGCGGACGGAGTCATAGACGAAAGCTTGTTTTACTATAATAATCTCAACTGTTTAGAACCCGAAACATTCTGATGGAAAGTACTTATACTTCCGAATCGAGGAAAGCATTCCAGTTCGCTCGAGATCATCCCGAGGTGAAGGCGCCCTTGTCGGAGAAGTACGCTCCGCCGAGAGTGGTGAGAGTACATTGTCGTAACACATCACTTTCACAATATCAATCATGTATTTTGTTTGTTATTCCAATTATCTTCACAACTCATCGAGATAAGAACATAAATTGCTTAGAGCGCACATTTGAAACTAAACTATCGCACAACTGTTTGGTCTTGCTATGATTCCTAGCTTATGGAGGTGCGAACACTACTCGATTTTTAGTTATGCAAATGACCAATGAGCATGCATATGTGACCAGTGGTAGTGCCCGCTTTAACAACTTAGCACGAATAGGTGTAATACCACGACCACACAGAAGACAGGCGTGAAATGGAAGCAATTCCGTGTACAGTCTGATGAGTGTGGTGCCGGAGGCCTAATTTAAGTCCCTTTCTCTTTACCACCCTTTTCTTATAAAGACAGGATGGGAAGGGGAAGTGGATTTGACGGAGGAGGAGATACATAGGAAGGGGAGATATTCTCTTCATGTGCGTCTCCTCTGTTATATAAGGGTAGGCAACGCATCTGCAATTGCGGATGTCTATGGGCAGCATTCGCTTTGCCATTTTGGCGGATTCAGATGGCCGCTTGCTCGTTTGCCACCTTATGTTATAAAAAAAAACAGTTAAATTGACTTCAAAACAATCGACAATCGCACAACAGTTGTGCAAAAGTGTTCGCCCACTTTAAACTCCATTTGCACTGGATGTTGCGAAGACAATCATTGATGTATAAGCTTAGTTAATTTTTAGGTGGAGCTTCCGAAATTAGCGCCACCTGCCATAGCGCCGGAGTGGAGAATGGACTCTATGAAATGGGAACGAAAACAATTGAGAAGCCACTGCGAGCCGACGATGCACTTTTGGACGAAACGAAGACAGTATTGTAAACCATGAATCTGTCGTAGTAAGTATTACGGTTTTAAGTGTAACATTAAGTGGTTTCAAGTGTCATTCTTAATAACTTAATTTTCAGGTAAAGAAGTATTTTATGATTCACATAGTTCCTGCAGAAGTTTGCAGTATTTTTATAAGATATGAAGAATGTATTTTTAAATGTTGTCTAGCAAGTAAATAAGTTAGTTTATGACTTGTTAGAGTTTTGTACATAAGTATACACAAACTTAAGTTCACAGTTCAGGTGTAAACCTGGTTGCTTTTCAGTGATATTTTTGAATAGCTTATATGTTTCATAAGATTTTTAAATTTAATTAGCCTTTTTTTTTAAACGTAGAAATATGTTATTTACCTCGTAATGTTTTAATTTAAATAAATTTATTTTATGTCAATGGAGTTTTATTTTATTTTAACATCAAATGAAAATACAGTTAACGAATTCAAGAAACTAAACGAATCTCTAGACTTTTGCACAAAGATCTCAAAGGAGAGGAGATTAAATTTTACCATAGTTACAAATGTTACCTTCTTTCCAAGTGTCTAAAAAACTTTACGTAATTAGTTAATCTGTAAATAAACGACAAATGTCACATAATTCATTTCATTTGATAATTTCATTTTCTAATTTTCTTTTGTAACAATTTTTCGACTGGTTTATTTTTGATTTAATTTAACGTACTAAATATTATAAACAATGACTACTCGACAGGAAATATTAGATTCTATGATAAACGACTATAAGACTACAATGAACAGTGATTATAGAGAGAATGCAATTAAACCGGTGATAAAAACTGTATATCAAGAGAAAAAACCTTTCATCAGAGAGAAATGGACGTATGTTAAATACATTCATACGATGAGGAACTGGGATGGAGAGAGGGCGCCTTTTGATTCTACCATTCCAACGAAAGCTATTATACGAACTAATCCGCATAATATCCAACCTGTTTATGTTAGTACATTTTCAATTATAAATCATCTTAGATATTTTAAACAACCAATAAGTCGGAAACCGCCCAGGGCGCTCTACAGAAAGGGACGCCAAAAGTTTGTGAATTGCAATCTTGTAACCACGTAGAAATCTCACACATTTCTAGTCATTTTGTTGGAGCATTTCCACAATATCTTAATTTACTGAGTAACTGAAAAATACAATAGACACTATTTCATTATCACCAGCTCACTGTTCGTCCTCACCGAGGGGCTCGGAGCATACCCTAAGTAAGGGTGTCTAGGCCATAGTCAACCTCGCTGCATTGCGGGTTGGTCGACTTCACTCATATCTTTGAATTTCTTCGCCGATATATGTAGGTTACATCACGATGTTTTCCTTCATCGTAAGAACGTCGGGTAAATTATGTGTATACCTATGAAAATTCGAAACATCGAAAATTACATTGGTCCACGGCGGGATTTGAATCCGACCTGTAGATTACAAGTCAAGTGCTTAAAACTTATTTAATGAATGTTATTTTTAGGAGAAACCTAAAGATTTAGAACTAGACAGTGTTAGGAAAACAAGACCGCGACTTGTAATGACTCCTGCGATCAGTATGGACGATATCGAAGATCAGGAGTAAGAATAAATTGGTTTACCAAAATAAATGATACCTAAATATAAGCTAGTAATAAAGTTTATAAGCCTATCTCGTACGAAAATCAAGCGTTAATTTTCAGTAAATGGAATCTCCTCATGAACTGTTCTTCGTACACCACTCGAATGTCGCGAGACTACAAAGCTATCAGCGATGTTTCAAACGTCGTGGCGCCGTTACTTGGGAAATATTCACCTACAGTGCCGGTAATATATGTAGTAAGAATTATTTGTCGAAAAACTGAAACAGTTGGACTAACAACTAAGCTTGTTATCTATGACACAGATAAATTACCTTTCTACTACTTTCGGTCCAGTTGTTTTTGAGTTATTTCAAAACATACAAAAACACAAATCTTTCCTGTATATAATATTAGTATTGACTAGCTTTTGCCCGAGACTTTGTCCGCGTGCAATTAAGAAAAACAAAAGTAAGTAGACTGTGTACTCTCCCAGACTGTCTTTTACATCTATGCCAAATTTTACCGAGATCCGTTCAGCAGTTTAGGCTACAAATTCTAAAAAACATTTATCCATCAAAACATTCGAATTTACAATATCAGTAAGATTTATTACTGTTAGGTTAAGTTTTAATCAAATTAAGTACCTATTTATTCTATAAAGAAATTGGTTGACATTAAGTTATTTGCTAAGTTAAAAATTATTTTCAATAGTTAAAGTTAGAAAAGTACAAGCAGCCGTACGTTTCGCCGGAGTGGCGAATGCAATCGACGTCATGGGACCGCCGCCAGATCAGGGACTACTGCGACGCTAACAAAGTGTTTTGGCTCTACACGAAACCGAAACGTAATAAGAAATAATTTAATTTTATATTTTATAATCTACTTGAAGACCACCGACAAGATGTCTCATCATAGACAAATGCGGGCTATAAATGTATTTCTAAATGTTTTTTTAACTAATAATTCTGTACTTTTAAATCTGTGATGTATTTTTATGATCATCTTTAGAAGAGTTTTATTTTTGTAGAATAACTACATGACAAAATGGATTTTAACTGTACATTGTTACGTAGTTTTTAAAGGTTGATTTTAAATAAATAAAAACATTCAAGATTCAAATTATTTTATTTTTTAAGCTTAATATATACAAATACAAATGTAATTCCATGTCAACATTTATAATACATAAGGCTTTTCATGATTATTTATATCAATACTAAAAACAATAAAAAATGATAACATAAAAAATCGTTAAATCAAACTTACATACAAATATCACAAATATTCGATAAAAATAATAATTTTGACTCAATAACAATGATTTACTAAACTTATTTTTATGAATACATAAAACATTTTACATATGGAATAATTTTTCGAGAATTCTAACAAAAGTGTCGCATTAACTTTCAGAGAAAAGCCAAGAGTTTTTCTTGATTTTTATCTTTTTTCTCATTATTTTATTGCAAATATTTCATAACAATCAATTTTGTATTTTATTGTTTAACATTAAACTATAGAGGTATTACGAGAATGGATACACTTTCGGCGTTAGGGCGACCGCCCAGGGCGCCTTGCAGTAAGGGGCGTCACAAGTCTACAAACACGAAACATTCTTAATTTGCAGGTTTTGCAACTTAAAAAAAACGCCCTTCTATTAATGGTACAAAAGGGCGTCGTAAAAATCTCGCCCAGGGCGAGTAGGGATAAAACTAGCGCTGAGTCTTTTTAAAACTGCTTTTTTAAATTACATACATCATTTTTTAAATTAAATTACATACATTTTTTAAATTACATCTTTTATATAGGTATCGTTTTTTACATAATATAACAACAATATTCCAATAACATTGGTTAACAATTTCATGTGATTTTAATATGCATTTTTATTCGATTTTTCAGTCTCACTATAACATTCGTAACAAGCATTTATTAAACCTTTTTTAACGTCAATGAACAAGTATTTTAATTAAAATTTAACAATAATTGCAATTGTTTATAATTTCTTAAGTACACATTATTTTTCATTCTAACACTTTCAATGCTATCTTTTACACTACGAGAATTGTAATGGCATGACATGAGTTTTATTTTTTTACTTTACCACAAAACCACGAGAACGCTTAAAAATTACATATTTCAAGACCAACTTGTCTTATGTCAAAACTAAGATAAAAAAAACTATTTGTCAACAAATATAAGAAGTTATTATATGTTGTAAATATATCAAACATACAATAAACTGTTAAATGCTTAATACTATTTTGGTAAAACTAAATTTGTATAAAAACGTTAACTTAAACTTTGCGACGTCCAAAAGACGCCAAATGGACGCTGTTGAAGGGAACGAGACAAATATATCAAAATATATATTTAAAATAATAAATATATATTTAACTCGCTTTATTAACAGGTTTGTGTGTTAAGAACAAAGACAATGTGGTTTAAAATTTAAATCAGTATTAATGTACAATTAGGGATTTTGACGGTGTTCCCTTAAGTCACAGTCTAAAAGTTTAAAATGCATTGAGACGCGCAAACAGAACGCAGTTTTTAAATGTGCCTGTATGTAAAACACATATGAATAATTGTTTTTTTATTATTTCGTTATTAACTCAATGCTACTTAATTGCTTATTTTTAAATTGAAGTTTGTCTTGCAAAGAACAAGTCAATTGTTTGGAAAGTGGAACACTGCATATTTCCGCGATTGTACTTATGTCAATCGAATCGGGCGTGGTTATTACCTTTTTTTTATAATTATTATTAATACATAGTCAAATTTATTGACCACATGGTCAGATGGTCTCCGTGTCAAGTTGACCACTCGTGGTCCTCTGTGTACAGACCAGGCAGATGTTGGCGAGGGCGAAGGCCGCGTTCTGTCTGACAGCTGGGTTGGGGTCTTTCATGAGCTGCAGTAGACGAGTTCTAGCGCTTTTCGTGATGTCTGGATCTAGATCTATTTCCTCCGATGACTCCTCTTGCATGTGGTATATTTCCTCGTATAAAAGACCTGGGGAGACAAAAAACATGTAGATTTGTTTGTTACGAACTATCGCCTGCAAACTTCGTTAGCGCGGCATTTACCCGGAACAAACGCGGCTTGCGGACAGACAGACAAATACTTTTAAAAGTGTTTTTTTTAAGAGAAGGGGGCAAACGAGCGGCGGATATTTCCCTATTATCAGCAACACAGATACATCACCTTAGCGAAATCTGGAATTTTCTCGATAACACATACAGACACTCCATTTAATTATACGCATTTTTTATTATAATAATTTCATTACATCTTTTTGTTAATCCAACTAATATTAAAAATGCGTCAGTTTAGATGACTTTATGAATGTTTTTTAGCATTTGTAGCCTAAACGGATGTAGTACAGTCTGGAAGGACACATTTTGTTTTTTTTAATACCACATGGAGGTAATTTAAGTTTACCTATGAGTAGTGGCGGGTAGGGCATCAGGTCTGCGCAGTGCAGGTAGGGCAGCGCGGGCGGCAGCGCGCGGTGCAGGCCGGGCGAGGCGGGCAGCTCGGGCTGGTCGGGCAAAGAGCGCGAGGCGGGCAAATCGCGCGCCGCCCGCCGCAGTAACGCGCGAAGGAACTGCTCCAGCTGCAGCCGCCCGCCCTCCACCAGATGCTGCTGCACGAACTCCTCGCAACTCGCCGCGTTCAACGTCTTGAATACTTCACGTAATGTGAATTTACTAGCCTGAAATATAAAAGAATCTTCTTAATTCTTTCTAACATTCAAACGCGAACGTTTGGATGGATATTTGTTACTATATATCCAGAATGGCACAACGGATGTCGACACAAATGTCAAATATAATCAGGAAGAACCAAAGAGATTAAAAAATATATAGAGAAAGCTTAGTTGACACTTCAAATGGGACATTTTTCACATGATACATTAACGCTATTTACTTTTACGAAATTATCATACAAAAACATAAAATGGTATACCAAATTTGACAACTAACAGTACCTTTCAAAGAAGTTACTGGTAAAAAAAATTGATCATAATGTCTAGTAAATTTTTTATTCGTCCGGCTCGAAGGACCATGTTTCGAACGTAGACTTAAATAGCATACTTAATTCAAATAAAAACGATACACGATATTTATCTTAGTATTGTTATTCTATATTTTATTTTCCTTTAATCTGTAGTATTTTAGTTATACTAATACTATAAATGCGAAAGTTAGATGAATGTTTGTTAGAGTTTGTAGCCTAAACGACTGAACGGATCTGGATGAAATTTGGTACAGATCTAGAGTATAGTCTGGAGGAACACATAGGCACATACCTTTGTTTTTTAATTCCAAGCTAAGGAAGTCGCGGGCAATAGTTAATTTCTTATAAAATTGGCTACAATTACCTTATTTAAATAAACTTTTATAAGTAAATAATGAGTTACCTTAACCACGGCGGGGTTGGTGTCGGCGAGGCGCAGCAGGAAGCAGGGCAGCGCGGCGAGCGCGGCGTCCCGCAGGCGGCGCGGGCGGGCCGCCACCACGCCGAACAGCCGGATGGAGGCCGCGCGCAGCGCCGCCAGCTCCGTGTTCATGAAGGGCCGGATCTTCTGCGATATCGACACCAGCTCGCGCTCCGTCTCCTCCGACCCGTCCAGCTCCGACAGCAGGCGACTCAACCCCTGGATGGCTGCTAGAGGGACGTTGTCGATCGCTGATCTGGAATGTGGTTTACAAGATGTTAGGTAGACGTGAAAAATGTAAGTAAAATGATTATTGAAGACTTTTTGCTCGTGACATCGTCCACGTGAAATTTAAATCTAGCGTTTGTTATTCAGCGATAATGTCGCTTTCTAATGGTGAGAATCGGCGTAGTTTTTGAGTTATTTCAATACATACATAAATACAAATCAACAGAAATAGATATCAAATCTGACTCGAAGGACCAAAATCTATGAACTAATGACCGAATACGGAAGCGTCATTTTACTAATGTAAAGGCGTTTTAAATACAAACCTTAGTCGTTAGATTGTAAGCGGAGTTTACAAAGAGAAACATTTTAGACTGTTATTATTTAGATATAATGTAATGCCAGTTTACCCGGTGTTGTGTGCGTCGACGGCCTGGCTGAGCGCGCCGAGCGCGGCGGGCAGCGCGGCGCGGCGCGCGGCGGGCGGCAGGCGCGCGAGGCGGGCGGCGGCGCGCAGGCTGGCCGCGCGCACGCGCTGCGCCTCGTCCTTCCACCCCGCGCTCAGCGTCGCCAGGATCGTCTCCACCAACACCGGGTTCTCGTTACATCTGCAATATTACAACGGAATATCACTTTTTCATTCATTTTAATCGACCACTATTTTTTAAATTATACTAATATGCAAAAGTTTAGATGAACGGTTGGGTGTTTGTTAGAGTTTGTAACCTTAAGGGTTGAAATGATTTCGATGAATTTTAGTATAGATGTACAGTATAATCTAGAAGAAAGTATAGGCAACCCACTTTTGTGTTTTTTCGGACGGAATCGCCGGCGAAAACTAGTAGAATAAACATTGATTCCAAAACATCAACTGTTAAAATCCTTTTCAAAAGACAAAGGAGGAGGTATTTTCCAATAAGCGAAGACAGTACTTATCTTATTTGAATCTATTTATTGGCTGTATTTCAAGACGGTGAGTACTTATAAGAGATGTTAGACTTGCGTACCCGTGGTCGAGCATGTTGGCGAGCAGCGCGACGGCGGCGCAGCGCTGCGGGGGGAGGGGCGCGCGCGCGAAGCGGGCCAGGCGCGCCGCCACCGCCGGCCGCCGCGCGCCGCCCAGCGCGCCCGCCAGCAGCGCCGCCAGCTGCCACAGCAAGCCCTCGCCCTCGCCCCCGCCCCCGCCCTCGCCGTGCTCCACCGACAGACACAGCGAGCACGCCTCCCTCACCTGCACACCATTCGTTATTTATTAAACACAATACAATACAAATAATTATAAGAAAAGCGCTATTGCGTGCTTGTCGACACTTTAGGTACTATGTCAAAAAACAAAAGTGAGTAGTCTATGTGTTCTTCCAGACTATCAGGTTTTTACCTATGAAATTGCCGTTTTACATTAAAAATAAAACTGTACATAACTTAAACATCTTTACAAATAAGGTGCTGGAGGCCTAATTTTAGCCCCTTCCCATCCTTTGCCTAAGAGGAAAGGGATGGGAAGGAAAAGTGGAATTGACGGTGGAGGAGATGCATAGAAAGGGGAAATGTCCTCTTCATGTGCCTCTTTTCCCTCGTTAATTAAGGGTAGACAACGCATTGCGGATGTTTATGGGCAGCAGTCGCTTTCCATTGCGATGGATTCAGGTGACCGCTTGCTCGTTTGCCACCTTGTATTATAAAAAAAAAGATAACTCTAAAATTTGGTTCAGATGCATGTATTAAACACATAAGATATAACTTACAAATTTTTGTTAATAACCCACATTACATTTTGGGACTATCCCACCACTGGCTGATAGAGGCTCAGATAGCTTCAAAATGACGTCAATGTCAGATAAAGTAATAAAATCCGATATTTCCATCACATATTCTACAAGTTAGATTGTTATCAGACAATTTACAAGAATATGTTAGGACGACTTTTAACATCTTACCTTTTGACAATCAGCCTGGTCCAGAAATGCGTTAAAGGTATATGCAGTGATCTTAGCCGGGGAGAGTTTGATGGCGTCCCTGTTGGGCACGATGCCGTACCGCTCGCGGCCCGCTGCGGGCACGCTGTACGCGGGCGCCGCCGCCTCCAGGTAGCACGCCAGGCTCGTGTACAGCACCGCGAACAACTCCGCGAACTTGCTCGCACACAGCGACTTCATTGTCGACACTTGCAGCATCTCGCCTAACGCGCTTATCAACTGAAATTACAAATTACGTATTTGAACTGGAAAAATGTTTTAAAGGGGACAGTTAAACTCGATATTGTAAGTTACGAAGCGTATTTAAAATTAGTTTCAGTTAGACATTAAAAAAAGACGAGGCATAGTGATATTTTTTCACAGGTACTTTCTGTGGAAGGTACTACTATATCACTTGACGTAAAACAGTGTCACAAAATAAAATGTAAACATTTTATTATTCCACTAGCTTTCGCCCGCGACTCCTTCCGCGTGGAATTAAAAAATCAAAAGTGTGTAGCCTATGTGTTCTTCCAGACTATCCTCTACATCTGTACCAAATTTCATTCGAAATCTGTTCAGTCGTTTAGGCTACAAACTCTAACAAACATCCATACATCCATCCATCTAAACTTTCACATTCATATTAAGTATGATGAGACTTATTGGCAATTAATTTAAATGCAATTAATATTGACATTTTGTTTTGAAGCTATCAATAGTGTTAATGATGATTTTGTAAAAATGTCTCAAGTGTCAACTATGCCTTCTCTATATTATTGAATGTCTTTGGTTTTATTGTGATGTTAGTGATACTAACGGTGAGCGGCTGCAGCGCGGCGATGTGTGTGTCGGTGACGTGGTAGGGGTCCTCGTACAGCTCGATGGACGTCATCAGCCGCAGGAAGTTGTCTATGATCGCCTCCGACAGGCTCTCGTCGCCCGCCAGCCGCCGCCAGCAGGACATTACCGATCTTGAAGTAATATCATACTAATATTATAATTGTAAGTTTAGATGGATGGATGTTTGTTAGAGTTTGTAGTCTAAACGGTTGATCGGATCTGGATGAAATTTGACGTAAAACATAGTCTGGGAGGACACATAGGTTACTCTTTTTATTTTTTTAAATTCCACGCGGTCGGAATTGCGGGCAAAAGTTAGTAATCTATATCTATACTAATAAAGGCACAGAATATTTTTGAACATTTTTTAAATAAAATACAATAAACCCTACCACTTATAGGCTTAATTTATTTAGGGGGTGAATAATTTGGAAAAAATATCATGCGAGAAAGAGACAATACAGACTAATAGGGGCATAGAAGCGAGATTGTCACGGTAAAAGTTATTATTAGCCAATCGCAAAAGCTTTCAAGACCATTTGAACATTGGAATTTTGAAATATGCAATTCAGTTTCACTGAATGTAAATAAAATAATGTTTTTATAATATGTGAATGAATAAATGATTTTAATATAAATTTTCATAGTAAAATACTCACGGTTTCAAGGGCAACTTCTGCGTTAACAGCACAGCCGTGACCGCGTTAGAGTGGTGCCTCGTGAGCGAGGTGAGCGGCACCAGCAGCCGAGCTGACGCCTCCTCGCTCACCTCGTCCATCGTGGTCAGCATCACCTCCACTACCCTCTCAATATTCTGGTACAAATCCTGACCCTTCTTTATAAACAGAGCGTTCAGCACCGCGCTGATCCCCACACTCCTATACTCCTGGCTGTCGTAACCTTCCAACAAACTCTCTATAAACTGCATCGTATGATGATGAGGTATCTTAGACGATATAGTATCACATAAAATAGTACAGTAATCATTGATCATATTAAAATCATTCGTCAATATATTATTCTGCAGGTGAGAAAGACTCGCCATACATTCATCGTCCTCCTCGATAATACGTCCTTCGTACAAATCCTGCGTTTGTATTATCAATTTGATGCAATCCACTGTTGTCAATCTCACTTGGAAGTTAGTATCGGCGACGCCAGGCACCAATATACCAAGCAGATATCCCATCTGACCGAATTTACTAGGAGTTTCGTAATTCAGTTTCACATTTTTTATATACGAATCGAAAACAACTTGCAGTATCAACATGGCGGCCGATCTGATCTCCTCATTTTCACTACGTATCCATTCCATCAAAAGTCCGACTAGATCATCTATCGTACTCAAACACGTTGATTGTATAATCAACTCTCTAATCAATTGATGCAATAGCGTCAATGAATCGTTCAAAGTTTTGGCCAACACGTCATTTTTATCCCCATTACCTTCTATTTCATATTTATATTTAAATGACGACAATTCTTCAAAGATACTGCCGAATAAAACTCTCAGTATCTTATTCCTTTCCTCGGGTAATATTCCTTTCTGCAGTTTCGTCAAGGCTTTCGAAGCCTTCACTATTATAGGGTATAGTTCCACGTTGCGGCCGTCGATGTTTGAGTTGTATATTTGCGATAGGACAGCGTTTAACAACTGCCAGCGATTCCGCAGCGTAATGTTATGATGCGATGCAGGTTGCAGCGCCTTGCTGATTTCGTAAAGTGTAGTCACGCTGGCTTTGCACAAATCAAAGGGCGGATTTGACTTCAATGTGTCATGCAAAATAGCTGTTACATTTTCTCCAAGACGCGCCAGAACATGTATGTCAAGACACTCGTTGGCAACCTTTCCGTAGCAAGAAATAGCAGCAAATTTCACCACATTAATCTCAATTTCATTTTTTGAACTTTTCGGCGAAAGGAAATTGAATAGTTTGTTGCCTCTTTTAGCTTCATTCTCTTTGTAGATTGCATCTAATTCGTTCATGACGTCTTCTCCGTGCTGCCTGGACGCGATACCGATTGCTTTACTCACGTAATCGCAACTCTCCAAAGGTATCGCTTTTAAAGAGAAGATTATTATTTTCAAGACTTTTTCGACCGCCGCAGCATTGGACATGTGGCAAGATAGAATGGCCAAGTACTGCATGGATACGCCTTTTATTATAGGAGTCTGTTTCTTGCTTAGAACTTGTTGTGAGAGTAGCGTCGCTATCGTCTCTACCCATTTGTTGCTGTTCACCTGCTCGATGGCCGACACTAACATATCCAGCAACATGCCGTGCCACTGATCTCTCGACTCATTCTTGTCCACAAATTTTAACAATCTCTGTATTTCTACCGTCCAAGAATTCTTCAAATTCTTATGAACATCACCGGAATACTCCTCCAAGAATATCAATAAGCTTTTATTTTTTTCTGTCTCATTCGGATCTACGATATGAGTTATGCATCTAACAAAAACTAAATCGGGACATATTTTGACTTCGAGAGCTTTGTCTGGTGCCTCGTTTAGTATTACATCGGAATTGTTTTGCAGAAGCGAAGTTAAACAATGACTCACTGTAGCCATAGAACTGGTGAATTCTTCGACAGTTAACGCTGTGAGTAATAGATTTCGTAATTGTGTTCTGACACTCGTCACCGTATTACACATAAGTATTAAGGAACTCCTGCAAGTGTCGTGTAAATCTAATATATCGTGTTTTGGAATGTTAGCCGGTCCTTCGTACCCGCAGTGTTTTATTATAAACTCTATCATAGAAAATTCTTCAGGTGTAGTTATACAATTTCTATAAACTAAACCTACGATAGCTTTAATCAACAATTTCTTCATTTTCACGTTCTGTTCCATATTGATCATGACTTTCAGAATAGCTACAAATTTAGCAGCATACTTATCAATAAAGACTTGCGATGAAGTCGTCAAGTGTGTTAAAATTATAACAGCCTTCATCCTATCTTTTTCTTGGTTATTCTTACACTGCTGTAACAGACCTTCGATTGTCTGCTCGGGAAACTGTCCGGCCATATGATCCAAACATCTCAATACTTCGAAATGATTTTTAACAGTATGCGGCTGATCATAATCCGGCTCGACTAGGACCAAATTGAACATGGCGTGATTTATAGCAGTAATTACGTTGTCATTTAGAGTCAACTTGGGGTTCAAAGCTGACGGTGAAAGTAAATAGGATATACATTGACTAATATAGTAGAAGTTCAATGCCGGTTTTCGGTACAAAGACAGCAATGAAAGAACAAATTTGTTGACAGTTTCGTTGAACTGTCTTTCTGTTATTAGTCTCGTTATCGGACCGAGTGCTTCTAATATCGATTCAGATACTTTAGGTTCGTGAGATGAGAGCCACTGGTTGTACAATACGTCAAATATTATGGAGAATTCTGTGACAAAATTTTCTTTGATAGATGTTATGTTATCATTCTCGACATTATCGCCGATTTGTTCAGCGACAGCGACAGCGAAGTGGCCGAATGCTGCAAAAAATCACAACAGACTATAATCAGGAGTTTTCTCAATAGAGGTTTTTCTTTGCTGTTTTACGTACCGTAAGCGAAGGCTTGTTTAACGCCGTCTTGCTTGACGAGTGTGAGCAGGGGAAGCATTTTGCTCAGAATCTCCTTAATATGCGGCACAACGGCGTGCGTGTTGACAGCGGCGAGCGTGCCCAGCGTGTGCACGATGGCGTAGTGCGGCACCGACGCTGGTGACAGCTGGTTGATGAGCAACCTCAGTATCTACAGACATAGATACATATTTTAGACTATATAATATGTAACAACGTAATTAACTTCAATACTTTAACCTACTGATCTCGCCAGAATGGCGCGCTTATTCTATTAAGAAGTATTAACTTATGAATGACATTGACAGATGTCATAAGGATGGGACCACCAATTTCTTCTAAACAATCAATGTAATGAGTGTACATCTTACTAATATTATAATTGCGAAAGTTTAGATGGATGGATGTTTGTTAGAGTTTGCAGCCTAAACGGCTGAAGGGATCTCGGTGAAATTTGCCATAGATGTAGAGGATAGTCTGGAAGAACACATAGGCTTTTGTTTCTGTTTATTCCTCGCGGACGCGGGCGAAAACTGTTATTAATATTTTGTATGCTCTTACAGTCTCAGTACTCGGAATAATGTTACTTCCATTTAGACATTAGACTATAAATAAATAACAACTACATAAACGTCTTATCACTTTGACAGGTTGTAATTTACAACGCAAGCAATCTGCTATCGTTTAATGTTGTTTTGTGAAATATATCTATCTATACTATTATAATAAAGCGTAAACACAAACTTCTTTGTTGCCTAAGATGTCAGCAATTACAGCATTTTTTGAATCATTCTTCTTTTAATAAAAAGCCCTACACTTGCGTCATGCTTTAGGCTATATATTTTCACGCCAATAAACTTAGGGGGAAATATTTTGGATAAAAACCCTAATGTGGGAAAGATACTATAAGTTGCTGCCAACATCAAGGAAACAAGATTACCAAGGTTTGTCATGTCATTTTGACATTTGCTATTGATAATTTGACAAATGTAAACAATAAAATAAAATTTTCATAATTTCATGCGAATGAAGCCGCACGGGAACAGCTAGTTTAGTAAAAACAGAGATAGTTGAATTGCTAAAATAAACTGCTAGTTTATTTTAGCAATTCAACTCAATTCAATTACCTACATTTCAATTATTTTTAATTACAATTCAACTTCAATTCAATCACCTACATAACTTAAAGCGCGCGCACTTTCACTAAACTATTGCACAACTGTTTAGTCTTTTGATTCCTATGAGCTCATATAGAGGTGCGTACACTAGTTTTTAGTTGTGCAACTAAACAGTTGGTTTCCGAAACAATCGACAATCGCACAACAGTTTTGCGAACCTTAAAAAAATTTCCAACTGAACTAATACAATCTCGTAACATTTAACACATGTCATATTTGCGAATTATCTATAGAGATAATACAAATAATGTATGCAGATGGCGGACAAAGGCAATATATTTACATTAGCGCATGAATCATGCTGTCTGTTCCCGAGCTCGGAATGAAAACATATCATCTCTTTATTTATGTATTCTCTTATGATCCTGCTCGTAATGTATAAAAATAGAATGCAATATGTAGATTATGTTTTATCCTAGTTTCACCTTTGATACAATTATAGTTAGGGCATATACACTAGCTGATAGAGGCTCAGATAGCTTAAAAGTGACGTCACTGATAAGGGAAGAAAATCCGATATTTCCATCACATATTTCACATGTTCAATTGTTATCAGATAATTTTCAATTTGGAGACCTGACACTTAGAACCTAGTCCACTAATTATCGGATTTTGTTCCCTTATCGGACAGTGACGTCATTTTTAAACTATCAGAGGCTCTGTCAGTGGTGGGACAGGTCCCTAATGTTATGAAACGAAGCATTGTTAATGTTATGCAACAATACAAGGAAATCATATCAAATTGAATCTAAATTACAAGTTAATTAGGAGCTAAACCAAATAAGTGTTATTTAGCTTAGCAATACAAAGTTATATACATAAATAATTATTGAAGAGGTGTGACAAGATCAACATTAACATTAAAACACGAAGACAAGTTTTGTTATAAATATTAATTATGCTAAAACTAATGAAATGGTAATAAAAATTTGAAAACCAGAACATAAAAAAATTATCACATAAAGGGTAGGCAGGAAAATTAATTAATAGTAGATGCAAATAAAGTTTCAATCATACTGCATATTGATATAAATGCAAAAGTTAAGATGGATGGATGTTTGTTAGAGTTTATAACCTATATGACTAAAGGATTTTGATGAAATTTGGTACCGTTGTAGAGGATAGTCTAGGACACATAGGCTATTTTCTTTTGTTTCGTATATACAAAGAACTCATGTAAAATAAATAATTACCATATCCAAGTACTCATGGCTAACAGCTACTAGCACTGAAGAGGCTCCCATCTGTATGATGGGCTCGTAAGCTGTGTTCTCCGTCATTGCACGGAGCATTGCATTCACCAAGTCCGTTGCTGTCCTCGAATTGAGTTTCTTTACTTGATTCACACATGTTTGTTCTAAAACCCTGTTAATCGTAAATATAAAGTTTTCAAGACAATTCCTAAACAAAACATCATTAATTTTTTTTTTTAATAATTCTAATCCAATTTCTTGTGTCTGTTAATACATACAATGTCTTTTAATACAATGAAATATGGTCAATAATTTGTCAGTAAAATACAAGCTTTATTATCTAGATACCACAGTAACAGATTTTTGCTTGTGTTTGACATTAAGTAGGTTGGAAATTCACGTTCAGAATTACCTTTTATACACAGACCAAAATTTGTTGCAGTACTTTGGAAATTAATTATTATAGTTGAATGATTAGATGAATAGAAAATATGATTAGAAAATAGTTCCAATGAAATGATTGATATGGCTATTAGATTAACACATTTGTCTTAAAATATAATGAAAATTGATAAAGAATTGATTTGTGATAAGTTGTTTATTTACATAGTGTTAATAAAAAAAATAGTTTTACAATTTACTTAGTGTAATTGTAAAAGAAAAATATGTTTTCATAATCAAAAATAAAAAAAAAAACTTGAATTTCTTTTAAATAAAAAACTTAATCAGAAAAGGCAAAGAACAGATTGCAGATATCAAATGTTTTAAAAAGCTAATTCTTGAATAGGAGCTTGCTTGGAAAATAAAAAAGTAAATTTATTGTGCTTACATCATAATAAAAAAGGATATGTAACAACTTACATGAATCTTTGTTCATCTGCAGTACTATAATATGGTAAAATAAAAATTTATTATAAAATAAAGACCAGTTTTAGTTTTATTATTGTATTTCATGGCACATTATTTGATCTAACAATTGCTCAATGTCTATAGCTATCTCAATTAGTTAATCAAGGTCACAGAAAGCTAATAAGATGCAATGTAAGTGTGGCGTAATATATGTAGCTATTAACTATAAAGCATTTGCCTAAATACGCAATTTAAAGACTGCTTTTAACTAAGTTTGATGAAAATATGATTAGAAGCAGAATTCAGACTTCAGATAATTTTTTTTAGAACTTATTTTTTGCCAGATAAATGGAGAAATGTTCAATACTCACTTGACAATGTTACTCAGCTGCGTATTGTTGACTTTGGCACTATTTTTATAGAATTCACAAAATCTGTCTATCACTTCATTAGGATATGTGTTTGCTATTTTCGTGAGTGACTTAATTATAACATTATTGACGGAATTTTCACTATCCCCTATAGCATTTATTAACACTGTTACAGTATCTGCAAATTAATAATTCATGAAAATTTTATCCGATAAATATTTAAATTTGTAATGCGTTGCACAAATATTACCTTGTAAACAATCTGTTTCCGTAGTTGACATTATTACGTACGTATTCCTTCTATTGAAAACACTGCATAATAAACTGCAAGCATATAACAAACTTTTTACAATTAAAAGTGACGAAATTGAACAAAAATGACAAAATGACAATTCGAGAATTCGATTTCGTTTTGAGCGCAGATTATAAAAATGACATTGACAATGAAGACCAAAGAGAAGACAGTGATGCAATTTGAATATCTAAAAATGGATAGGCTATAAGCCGTTCTATGTTGTGCTTATTTGATTTCGACGCTGACAGCAACTGTTGCTAATGGTTAATAAAATTGTAATAAAGGTATAATAAACTATTAACGACAACAGGCGGTAAGACTCGCAACCAAAACGAATCAAAAAGCAAAAAGCAAAGCAGTTCTAAGCAGAGACCTATCGATATCTTGTAAAACGTCAAAATGTACGAAAGGTAAAGCGGAATATTTATCTCGAAATACTAAGATATAAAATCAGGTAAACTTTATGATCTCAAATATGAATAAAATCTTAGAAACTCCACCTTTCTATCGCGTAAATTAACAATCATGAAGACACTAAAATCCAATAAGAAAAGTAAAATGCGCCACAGACATTATTGATGAGAGCGCCACCGTCACCGGGCAAGAAATATGTTGCTTATTAAACTTCTTATTTAAAACTAATATATTATATGAAAATCACTTTTATTGGTAGTTTTGATATTTTTTGGGATATAAAATCTATTTAAAGCTGAATCTATCTACCACTGGGGTGTTTAGTAAGATTATACAAAAACATTAGACTTTTTATACTCTTTGAAAACCACACGAAGGAAACTCCGAACAGAATCCGAATCGAATCCGAACACTGAATGACGGTGTATTGGTGACTGGTGTATAATATCTATACATTTTATATCTTTTTACGTTCATGCAAATCGCGGATAAAGCAGACGTGCCGCTCCCTTCACCCAGTAAAATTTTACCACTGAAACGCATACTGTACCAAAATTGTCAACACACCATAAAAAATATTTTCAATTAAAACTAAAAGCGACTTTCACCGGAAACATTAATAATCTGATTAGACGAATCAAGGGTTGTGGAATCATCCCGCATATCAGTGATTGATCTCACAATGCATCCGTGTGCATGGTCAGTATCAGATATATCTGTGTGATGTACCGAGTGGTTGATTTAAGTGACAAAGAAGCGTCGGCTCCCACTCGAAACTATTATCCCAATCGAGATTACGTTGGGCCGGGAACTAGCCACTTGATTTAGTTGCCGCAGGGACACCAAAGCGGTAAATACGGAGTCGCAAATCCTGCTTCGCATCATTTATCGCCAGGATTTCGGTGAGTGCACGTCCTAGATTTTATTTTGTAAATCGCGTTCAGTATTAAGAAATCGGGCGTCGCTCGCCCGTTTCTGACATTGAAGAGTGCCCGATCAGCTGCCATGTAATTCTTAAAATAGACTTATATTGTCGAGCCCCTTCTGGCAGCGGCGGCAATCAGCTGATTGGGATAACATTTGAATACAATTTTAATTAACCATTTACCTGGCAGACCTCAGTGTGTCAATTGAGCCCTTTCATTACGACATAGATAAATGATATCTGTAGATAACATTTTGGTATATGATAATTCAAATTTTTCAGTCTTCAGTCATTAAATGAGTGTTGTTTGTTATAGATTTAAAAATGGTGCAGCAAGATTTGACTTAGATTGATTGAAGAGGGACATACACAAGGGTGATGGTCCAGCGATGGCTCAGGGAAGCTCATTGGTGTGAGTTCCGAGCGAGCTAAGAACATTGAGTGAGTCAGGTGCAGTGTTGTGTAGTGTCTAGTCATAGTGCGAGTGTGTGAGTGTTGTCCGACCCGGAATGCCCTCCGCGATGTTGTCCGCCGTGCTCGAAGAGGAGCCAGATTTGTATGAGGCATTCCCCCCACATGTTGACCCAACCGGTATAACCATCCTGACTGATAGTCCACCAGGTAAGCAACTAATTTACAGCAGATATATATTATAAGTTAAATCTCTGTTATTTAATTTTTTTACTAAGTGCATAAATCCAATTTAAAAGTTTCTTAAATATAAATTTGTTAAACAAACCAAAGATCAAAACCTGACAAGTTTACAGTAATAAATATCTTATCATAGCAAGACAATCTGAGATAGCTAAATTTGAAATGTAAAGTTCACTTATCTGTACAATAATTATCGGAGCAAATAATTAAAATAATCTTGTTACGGCAATTTTAAATGGCTTCATTTGTTCTGCATAACATACAATACACATCTTGTTTTATTTATCTAAACAAGGTCATAATCTTTATTTACTTAAAACATATCTTATAGGATTTATTCAGTTTGTATGATAGCTTGACTTTACCTAAATAAAATAAATTTGAAATTCAGTTTAAATACAAGAGAAAGTCATAGAAATATTAATTTTTAAATGATATATTATTCATCACTGGAATAATAAGTAAATAATATAACAAAATAAGACTTAATAGTTTCAATTTTGTTTCTTTAATTGAATGTTATGAAAAACGAAAGTAAATTAACCCAAAAAAATCAATATAAGACTAATTAGATATTAAAAAAATGGTATCAGTATCTAAATATGGACATTTTTAATTATCTAGATTTTTCATATAATTTACTGGATACAATTTTTAAATTTCGCAATATGCTAATTTTTTTTTACGCGAAAATACGTGTTCATGATTACGCGCGTTTCTATACGAGTGTATTCCATGCATGTATCATGCTAATTAAAATTTGATTAATATGCTAGTGCTTACTAAATTTCATTTACTCCTATAAAATTAGGAATATCGTAGCAAAACGTAAAATATGCCTATTATGAGTTCATCATAGTTATATAGCTATTGACCATTTACTAATATTTTATTTATTAGACTATTAAATTAGAAGATTCTACAGTACCGCTTTTTCGTAGTTTTAAAGAACTTTTTAACAGTAAAATCAAAGCCTACAATTGTTCGATATGCGGCGTTGTCTGTGCCGTGGAGAAATGAGCCCATTTACAGCTGACGTAATCATTTTAGGTTCAGCTTTTAGCTTTTAAACCTGAATTTTATTAGTCGCATTTATTAAACGTAATCGAACAATGACTATTACGTCCTAGGTGCAATAAAAAAGACTGTACTCTATGGTCCTTAAATCTAGTGGTTATGATTCTTCCGACCTTATAACCTTGAAGTTTACGCAAAAATTAGATTAACAAGTTAAAGCCAAAAGTTGTATCGATATGCTTTTCACAGCTATTTGTTAACGTGCAATACATGAGTCGTTTTGTGTAATAGAATTTGATCAATGATTCATAATGTTTATGAATCTGAAATTACTATGGTGGTAAAATAACATGAGACTTTAAAATAACGTAACGTTGAGAAATGAACGCACATTTGGGTATTTCCCGATGGACCTTTCGTTCGAACTAGTAGCAATTTTTTCCATTGGGTCGTTTGATTGTACATCGGTTCATAGGGAAAGAACCGTACATTCAACTCTCTTTCCATTGTGAATTGAACAGCTAGTAAGTGAATAGGATAAAAGGACATGGTTGTTTACGCCTAAGAAGGAATATTAAAAGAGATTTATAGCTATTTATGCCAAAAGCTCTTTCGGTTCCATCGAAAGGTTTTCTTTAAATAAACACGCTAAAGTGACGTAATTGGATTCATTTCTTACCTTTTTGTGGTGGCGTACACGTTATTTAAAAAAATCTGAGATAACTAAATGTTTTGTATAGGTGTGTAGCAGTGAAAACTCACAACATAACAAATCTGTTCAATATGGCTTAAGTTGATTGTGGCGTGGTCAAACGGTCAAAGATTGGTTTAAACCAGAAGGTGCCAGTTGATTGTCGACAGTAAATAACATTATCGCTCTCTGTAAATAGTTTGTTTTGTTATTCTAGAATGCAATAACGAGTAATTACACGTATGTAAATTAGTTACAATATATTAAAAATATACAAGTAACAACCTTGCAAAATTTAGTAGATTTTTTGTAGGATGTTAGTGGGAAGACTGTATTACTGTTTGGTTGTTAATTAAATTGTTATTTAAAAACCACGTTTTCATATATTATTTTTATTTCATTAAGTAGCATAATAAGATTAAGTATATAGTAAAAAAAACTAATTAAGAGAAATAACAGCGTCGTCTGGTATGGCAATGGCGCGGCGCTGTCTCGTAGTTTTTATGTCCATAATTTACATATATTTCCAGACGAAAGCTGTTTGCGTGTTTTGCGTATAGATTATTTACATTATTGTTTTTTGTCTTGGGATAATGTGAGTTATTTAATTGAATTTAGACATAGAAGTTTATTTGGTGGAAGCGATACCTCCCTTCTACAGGAATTTCTCATTATCGTTTTTTCTCACAGACTGAATGGAGACTTCTTTACGCAAAGTGTTGCATGAGGAACTAACCTATTCCAACGCGGTAGTAAATGGATAGGGTCGTTTCTATGTATTTGATATTCATATTCGTAGAACAGCGGTGCAAGTATCGTAAGGTGATCAGGTAACGCGTTCGTGGCAACCCTGTTGCTGATGGTAGATGGTTTATATTACTCACTAATTTAGTCATTCCGGAAATATGTCATTGTTTAAAAACAGTTAGTTGTTACAGTAGGTTTGAAAAAGTGTTCATCCTTATCGTTCTCATTGAAAAAACAAGGACAACGATATTAATTTAAACTTGTACTTCGTAGAATTAGAGTGAATAAAACTCAAAAACTACTGGATAGTTTTTAATGCCAGATATTCTGTAAAAACTAAAGAATCACGACTTTCGTCGGCGCGTTATTGATGTAAAAACCGATTGAAATGTTTTTCAACGTTTTGAAGTCGGAAAAACGAAGGAATGTACTGTGAACCAAGTTCTTTAGTTGATCGAATAGCTGGTAGGTAACATCGAGTACTGCATACACCATTTTCTTTCTTGCGTTTGATAGTTTCCAGAAACAGTGGTGCGCGCATTGTTTTTGAAATATGTCGCCGTGTGTATACATGAGCGGAAAACACACGAACAATAGCTCACAATGGATATACTGCATTATGTCCACTGTTTATTTTAAAATTCAACTAAAAAGACGATTTTTCTACTAATATTAAATGCGAAAGTTTAGATGGATTGAAGTTTTTTAGAGTTTGTAGCCTAAACGGCTGAACGGATTTCGATAAAATTTGGTATACATGGAGGATAGTCTGGAAGAACACATCGACTACTTACTTTTTCATTAATTTCACACAGACAATCACGGGTGAAAGCTAGTTACATGCAGGTGAAGTAAGGTATTGTAAAAGCTTGTTGCTCGTGACTGCGTCAGTAAGGAGATAAAAAAACCCGATTACTACTCGTCACTCGCCCTTGACTCGCCTTGACTTTTTAAAGAGGAAACGATATCCTCTTTAATATTTCCTTTATACGCATGTATATGATCACGTCGTATTTCTCAAGAATGATTAAATCGAGTTTTTCCACAGATTATCTACACCGATATCAGATGATTCAACAAATTAAATCCCTTGTTTTCACCGAAGCTATTAACTTTGGGCCGAAAGCCAACTTCTCTGAACTTTTTCAATGTTCGTTATTTTTAATTTTTCCACATACGAAGAAGGTGAATGAGTTTCTAAATGTTATTCAGTTGCCTTCAGCATAATGAGAATACCGTCAGTGAAAACCTATGTTAAAATCATACTTCATACTAATATTATAAATGCGAATGTTTAGATGGTTGGATGGATGTTTGTTAGAGTTTGTAGCCTAAACGGCTGAACGGATTTCGATGAAATTTGGCATAGATGTAGAGGATAGTCTGGAAGAACACATAGGCTACTCAGTTTTTTTTTAATTACACGTGAATGGAGTCGCTGGCGAAAACAAGGTAAAATGTTGGCTTTATAGTCACTGTGTTGCTGGCCTTGTTGGCAGTATAATTAATAAACTAATTTCTATTTCTTAGTGTGATATTGTGCTATTTAAACCTGTTATGTTAACTTATATGCTGATAGAATATCATTAGACATAGCATCTGTTATGTATTGAACTAACATATGTTAGTAACAGATATTATAAACATTAATGTAATAACTCCCAGTCCTTTCACACTTTTTTAGGCTTTAGCTCTTCAGATCAAGTTATAATTTTAGTGTTAACTTCCTTCTAAACATGTTAACTTCTTCATACTGTTAAGAACAAAATTAGTACCGTGCTGTAGAATTGGCGCAACTCTAGATTATCGGCATAAACGTCACGTCCCTGGCTGACAGCTGTCAGTGTCACTAGAAGTATGGATAGATTGGCGCGCATCCTGAGTATAACGAGAAGTGTTGCTCTGAGTTTAAAGCGACAGTATGAATCAAATAAGTTGTCTTAAAATACTAATATTTAGCTAAATTAAAATCTTTTACGAATAAAACGTTGTTGCCAATTATAAACTATTTTAGTCACCTCTAAGTTGATCACGTGACGGCTATTGGTGTGCAAAGCGTAGGCCCTTATCGTGTATACATTAATGTGACATACTTGTTCACAAGGCTGTTGATTAAAAACTATAAATTAACCAATTGAAGTAAATAATACAGATAGATTTAAGTATTATAAAGAGGAAAGATTTGTATTTTTGTATGTATTGAAATAACTCAAAACCTACAAGGTCGATTTCAGAAATTCTTTTACCATGCTACGTTGGGAGTAACATAGGCTGAATTTATAAAAAAAAAACTGCGCAGACGAAGACGCGGGCAACAACTAGTTCGTAATAATTTGTTATAATATCACTGTAATGACTATATTTCAGGTAATTTCAGAACGTACATACATTTCTTATAAAATGTAACCCTCATTCTGAGGCGTTTGAAGGGTAAGAATAATTGTAACAAATTTCTTTTTAGTGTCTAAAATAGCTGCCTGGTTCTTTAAACTAATTCATATTAATTTGTATT